AGGCAGCCACAGGAGGGGACCCACTACAGCACAGGCGACTCACCTAAAGTGCCACATCCAGCTGCATCCCAATAGGCGAATCATTATAGCATCGCTGAAAGCGAAGAGGTCGGCTGGACATTGCCGACTCGTTCTGGCTGTGCCCTACCGCCAACAGCACAACACAAACCCTTTGAGGGATCTTGTACATCACAAGGAAAAGCACCAAGGAGGAGGGTGTCTGTCCCAGGCTATGGCCAACACCACACCACAAGCTTGCACTCACCTGAGCTCACCAGGGACAGACAAAGCCTTGCACCCCCCCTGCCTGACTGGACATTTCACTGATCGGGACTGTGTAGACCCACTAAAATGCATCGGTTAGCGGCAAATACAGGGCCTTGCGCTGCCACAGGCCTCTCGCCACACTAGGCCACACATAGCAGCACCTAAATTAGCTAGCCTAGCTCGATATCTAACACATATGGTTGAACAGGAACCCAGTGCCGTTATTACGCTCCATTGTTTTATATTGTTTTACCTTGTTTACATGTTAGTCACACGACATTGCACCAATAGTATTTTCAATCTACCACAATTAGCCGGGGCTGTATAATAGGTGTCAGAGGCCAGTGGTATACTAACATATACCTTCTCAGTTCTCAGGTGTAGATCCATAGTTCAGCATGTTTAATCACACCCATAAAATTGTGCACTCTCCTCACAGGCTAAGACACCGTCTAGACATATGTTCCTAGAATGATGATTGCTGCCAACATGGCATCTCAAGCCCGGAAAAAACTAGCTTGCAATACTTTCTACTATTATTATAACCTGTATCATGTGAAGCCTGCTTCTTATTTTATTAGTTAGCGTTTTGGATATAACTCTGTGTCAAGCGTTAATAACCCCAAAAAATTGCACAGTTTTTTCCCCAGCCTAATTACTGTGAATCTATGTTTAACGCTGCATGTTCTAGCTGTTGTGGCAAGATGTGCTATATGTGATTTTTCCATGCACAAATAAAATAAAGAATTAAAAAAAAAGTGTAAAATATATAAAAAATATATACTAAAGACCTATTGAAAATGATGTAAAGTGTATGAAATGAATGCAGCTGTTTCCTCCAATATGTACATAAAATACAATATAAGATAATAGTCCAATGTGGTCCAAAAACAATTAATATTCATTAAAATAAACATTGAATGAACAATATATTAGGTATATCTGAACTGGTAGCCTTCATTGACTTGGCTTTTCCTCGATTTTTATTTTTTGCCTAAAGTTTGTGATACCTTTGACAATTTGGAATTATTCTTAGTTCAGAAATTACACGCCTTTGTTTCACACAGTGGTTAATTAACAGCGGAGATCAGGGAAATAATATGACGAGTCACATTATTAGCAGTATGAAAAATCCAAATATCAGTTGAGAGCTGAGTGTCTTCGAACATCTGTTCAAATAAAAATTCTCTCGTGGTTTACTCTGAGCATTTGTTTGGTTTTACAACTGGGGCAAAGAGAGACATAAGAAGATTTTTAAAGCTATAAACAGGATACAGACTTGAAACCTTCACCGCCATTTAGTTTACAATAATATCACAATATCCTTGTCCGGAATATTAATAAAATAAACGTCAAACATCAACATGAAGATCAATAGTGTAATTCCAAAGTGAGTTTAATTGTCATATACTTACATTACATTCTGAACTGCCATCATAAAAGTAAATGGACCAAAATCAGTTTGCTCTAAAACGTTTTTATAATCCTTTGATTAATAAGGTCTACAGTGATCCAGGAGATTGGCAAAACCCATTGGATTTACCATTTATCCCTCCTGGGAATCATATACATGTAGGTAATGGCGTATTCTGGACCAGTCACAGAATCTGCTGGTGGATTAAGTCCTCTGTAACAACTGTTTAAAAGCTGTGCAAGTCCTCTGTAAGGCCCATCGTGATGCAGTTGTAGGGGTATTCCCTTTAATTTCTTTAAAATATAATTGACGCATGTGGGACCTTGATGAACACAAATTGGTTTATTTACATTCAGAGCCCTGCTCCCTGTGCATACAGTTCTGTAATCAGAGGCGGCTCTAGACTTTATGAGGCCTTAGGCGAAACTCAAACATGAGGCCCCACTAACAAAAAAGTGTCACATATACACATTGATGCACAGTTTACCTGTGTATGTGCCTGAGAGTGTGCCTGACAGAGAGTGTCCTTGTGTGTGTGAATGTATGTCTCTGTGAGCATGTTTGCGTTTTTGTCTGAGACCCTATGTGTATGGGGTAGCTGCTTGAAGTGTGTTGTGTGTATGGGGGGGGTGATGGTGAGAAGGAGAGGTGGGTGATGGTGAGAGGGGGTGATGGTGAGAGGGGGTGATGGTGACAGGGAGTGATAGTAATGTGAGAGTGAGGGGGGTAACGTGAGAAGGAGGAGGGGGGTAATGTGAGAAGTAGTAGGGGGGTAATGTGAGAAGGAGTAGGGGGTAATGTGAGAAAATGGGGGGTGATGGTGAGGGGGATGAGAAAGCCTACCTGTCCTCCCTGGAGGTCCAGTGGGCTCCCTGGTGGTCCGGTGGCCACTTCTTCCAGTCTGCAGCTCCACAGAGCTGCAGACCGTGTAATCTCGCGAGATTTCAGAGCGTTGCCATGGTAACCTGCGGCAACGCTCTGATTGGCTAATTCTCGCGAGACACATGGTCTGCAGCTCTGCTCACTGCGGAGCTGCAGACCTGTGCCTGCAGTGGCTGGCCGGGCAGCCAGGAGAGGCCTCGCACCCGGCGGCATACCGGGCAAGCTGCCGGGCCCCCTCCTGGTGTCAGGTCCTTGGTTACTGACCGAGGACCTGACACAGTCTGCCATAAGGTGGTTTAGGCGGCCGCGAGGCCCCAGTCAGCGCGAGGCCTTAGGCGGCCACTTGGTCCTGGAGAGGCCTGCTTGCCAGCCTCCTCCCCTGTGACTATGACTCTTTCATGTATTTGGCTTTAAAGCCCCTAGTCTACCTTCAGACAGACTATTTATGAAGGCTGCTTTATTTATCTTATGTTTTAGTCACCCTGTACCCATTATAGGTGCAGGGTGTGTGTAATGTAATTGTTTATAGTGTGTGTGTGTACTGTGAAATGTATTGCCTGCTCTCCTGTACTGCTGAGGTTTGCTACCAACTAGGTGGGTTTGGCTATGGAGCTTGTCTAGTGCCCTCTGTTGGTAGCAACAGCAATATGCACTACCTGAATTGCAAGACTGGTTCATTTGCATATTCGGGTAGATTTGCATATTGTTAATTCTGCAGGCAGGTGAGATATTTACTGTTAAATATTGTCTCCCTCACCCCTTTAAAAATGTGCTATTGTGTTGTGATAAGTCACTGTGTGTTGCTTGCTATGGTTTGACTGTTTGTGATTTTATTGAGTTTTCACAGCAATGTTATTGTGGTGACCCTATGAGCTTGTCCCAAGGGAAATAAAGGTTTAGACAGTTCTTCTTGATCCCTCTAAATGTAGCCTTGTCTCGTTATTGGAGGGAGCTGTTATAATCACACTGGGGATTGCTATGCTCTGCATACTCCCCTGAGCTTGAATCACTTAGTTCTTTTAAGAGCTTGTTCCTGACACGCTCTCCTTGGAGGAGGGGTCTTCACCACACAGTCCTGGATGCTGGAGGTTCATACAGGGTGGAAGGAAGAGTTTTTTCCCACACGGTCCTGAAGGACAGAAGCTGATCCAGGGTAGAAGGAAGACGGTGAGACTCCAGTCAAGATACAGCGGATGCGGAGTCTGCGGTGGTTGTGGTGTCTGCTGTACTGCTTGGAGTCCTCAGGAAGCGCTAGGAGCATCCGTCAACGGAGGGTACTCAGTCGGAGTACAGGGAGCTCCGTTACAGATACTTTAACCCCTTCCCTACAACTAGCATGTAGACATGTAGATACTACAATGCAAAGCAAAATAAAATTCAAGAAATCCCATGTACACTACAGAATATGTTGGCACTGGATTATTATTTATATTATTCCATATCCTCTCTTGCTTTTATGTGGGTTTTGGAGGACCCCTGTTTTATTTTCAAACTATCCATTGATTGTATGTGCTAATTCAATTACTATATATCACAGATCACTTGAAGATGTTTTACTTTGTTTATTTTTATGTGATATATGTTGTATATTTTACAGAAGCACAATAGAAGCATAGACTATTCCAGGACAAAGAATCAAACCAGAGGCAAAGAATGAAGAATCTTTTATTTGCACCCAGGATTAGCCCCTATCCACATTACATTTCATTTATGGTGACACCAAATCATATGGGAAAATATACTGGAACTCATAACACAATGACATATTTATAAAGGGGTGGGGAAGAAAACGACAGACAAGAAATATGTCCCCTGTCTGCAGAAACCATAATATGCATATCTATCTGAATATGCAAATTAACAAGCCTTGCTATTCAGGTAGTGCAGATAACGGTTTTAAAATCTTTACAGCCAGCAGATGGCGCTGGACAGGCTCCACTGCCAAATTCATCAAGTTAGTAGAAAGTAAGCAGGACATGAGAGCACACAACACATTAAACAATTAACAGTTACATTACACACAATTACATTATACACACCCTGTGACTTAAACACAAGATTAATCGGGGGACCTACATAAAGTGTCCATCTTATGCTCCTGACGATGGGGACTACAGTCACACTAGATTTTAGCTGCAGTGAGAAGGAATAATCTCTCTATAGGTTTTACATCACTTCTACATCGTCCGAACAACCAAACAGCTCATCAAATCAGCTCTAAATACAGATAGTTTGGAGAAGGAAAGAGATGGTGAAGTTGGTGGGTGGATGGCAAAAGGAGTAACGCCTGGAATTATCTACAGCAGCAGAACTTAGATAAGCAAAGAGAAATGATTGGATATTGAATCATTTTTTTCTGAAAAGCATATTTGAGATTAGGATTTAGTGGTTGGCCGTTTAGTCTGGTGAAATGTTCTTCTGTCACTTTCATTGTGGGTTAAATGGACACGCTGTTCTCAATCCTCTCTGGATCCAGATACAGGTAAGTCAGATTCTTGCTTTTGTTCCTCTCTTTAATTTGACTGGAAAGCTCAGACAGCTTTGTCTGGAATTCCTGAATGTATTTCTTTGGCGCTTCCTCTGTGAAATGTTCGTCTGGGTAATTACCGAGAGGTCTCTGTAAGAAAGAAAGAGAATGAGAGAGTGTTGTTACCCATCACTATCTGTACCATCAGGATATGTTTTAATTACTGGAAGAGTCTGTTCATCCTGGTGATCCCAGATCTTCAACTCTCATATACATTAAAAAAAATCAGCTAAATTATGAATAAGTTTCTCTTTTCTGAATTACATATTATTGTGCCTTTAGTTCCTTGAAGGAACCAATAAAAGTTTATGGGTACAACTACGTGGTAAGCCGGCAGCCGAGAATCTCGAATACACAGTGAGTAAACAATTAAGTAGTAACGTGGAACCCATGCCCATGGACTCCAATCACCACATGGTGGCTACAGTGTTTCTTTTAATGGCAGACTGAGAATGTTCTGTGCAACAGGGGAAAACATTTAAAATTTTCCAAGTGAAATGTAAGTGGAGGTTCAGCATTTCGAGGATATTTTAACAGATCGTAGATTCCGACTTGGTACAGAAAGTGTTACTGTGACAGAACCATCTTTCTGCTTATTTTAGGTGTATTCGTCTGTTTGTATCCCGTTCGTATGAATGGCTGTTTTCTATAGCCCAGCCATTCGAATGACTCTTTTTCCCGAACAAACCTGCCGAACGGACGGCCACCCAGGAGAGAAGTGTGCTGCTGGTTAACCTATTTGTGACAGATTCATCTGCATTGTTGGTTCGTCTGTTTCCCTTTGTTCGCGGAATTGCCTGCGTTGTGTATTTGCAAAATGCCGATTGAAACTACCGAACGAACGACCACCCAGGAGAGGAGTGTGCTGCTGGTTAACCTCTTGGCCCCAATTAGAACGTTGTGGTTAACCGCAGACACCTCTCCATTCCATTCGTACGGGTGGTCGTCGTTCGCATGTCGACCACGAGGCAGCGGCCATTTTGGGACATACGAACACAGAGCGGTGTTCGGTACAAACTGTATGGAACTAAAAACGGACACTTAAACTACCGAACACCGCTGAAAAGCTGCTGCCTACCTTCCTTTTCGACAAGGCATGCGAACGTCGGTCGTTCGGGAGTTTTATTCAGTCGTATGGACTTTTACCCCGACAGCCATCCCATGGAGTCATTCGTATACCGAAGGACTGGTGAAAGACTTTGACTCCATGGCGATTCGACTAGATACATCGGATCTGAGCGCTATTCGGTGAAAACATGCCCTCAGATCCAGGCTGTCTGGGGATACGTTACACGAACCATATGCATTCGGTATTTCTGTAGTTATGTATTTTAATGTCTTTTTGTTACTGTAATTTAAGATGGCGATGGTCTCTACCTTGGGAGATAATTAGGTTTCTTCCCCAATTATCTCCAAGGTAAAGAAGACGGAATTATGGGCAAGATGGGAAGGGCTATTATTGAAGCCACTGCGATTGGCTACTGTCCAATATGTGTTACAGTCTTCCACAAGGTCCCCTCGGGGAGTGTCCACCTTGTGGAGACCTGCATAAATACCGGGCAGGTAGCCCCCATTAAACAGATCTTCATTTGACCCTCAAGACGGAGCTTGGTCTCGTTTGTGGGGGGAATTATTATTGGGACAGCGTTTTCGTTATTCTAGCTGTGGCCGCTTCGACTGATTTGCTGATCGGGAGTTGCCGTGTTCGTGGACTTCGTTCGGGAGTTTGGCCGTCGGCTGGATTTAAACTGCATTTCTGGAGAAGGGGATTATTGCCTAAACGGCGGCTTCATCTACCCGACGGTACGTGTGTCTAAAATTGGTGGCAAGCGAAGATGAATCCTACAGCCCAGAAGGCCAGCACAATCCCAGCTGGAAATGCAGTATGAGGAGTTAAGGCGTGCTACCCTTAAAGATATATTGGAGCGCAGAGGACGATCAGCGAGTAATCTCAAAAAAAGAGAGATTATTTCGATACTATTGGAAATGGATGCAGCCAGGGAGCGGGGGGAGCGAATGTGCCTGGCATACTTAGTTAACACCCGAGGAGATACAGTTTAACCGGCAGATAGTATCGTGGCACAGTATGGCCCAACCCCGCAGCAGATTCTTGGTGAAACGCTGGCCTAGCAGCTATGTAAATCTTCAAGGAAAAGCTTGCACAATGGTTTGTATTAATAATAATAAGAAATGATTTTCTCTGGCGGTTTTGAAACAATGGTTTAAAGGTACCCGCATAGAGATATGCCCATCCTTTTATTAACCCGGCCCTCCAGTGACTTTTCGGGCCATAATATCCTTCAGACAGGGCCCAAAATTGCACAGCATATTCAATACCGGGGCTTACCGGGAGTAAAAGAGGCTGGTATTCTGTTGAGTGCATGCCCGGCGGCATGCATGCAATACTTATGGCTTTGGTGGTGCTGATTAAAGATTTATTTAACCAATCATTGTTAACAGGAGAGTCAGAAGAGTGGAAGTTAGCGAATGTTGTACCTTACAAGAAGGTCGTTGGAGGAGTCACTGCAACTACCGCCAGTAAGCCTAGTTGAGTGGGGAGTACAAACCACCTTAAAGGATGGTGTTCAACTCAAAAAACACCATGCCAAGATCGAACAACAGCAGTTTACCAGGGGATCCGAGTAACTACATCTAGCATTTTTTTTGGGGTAATAGTTACAGCACAACGTGGTGCAGTAACATTGCAACCTAGATTTCAGTCAGGCAGCCCGACCTGTTGCACGGGAGGGGCTTATCAATAAACTTGCTCTTTAAGTAAGCAGTTGGGGCACAAGCGACCCGAGTGCCCATTAAACAATTCAAGCCAAGCCCAGTCATGGAGAAGACCAGCCGGCGGAAATCAGCAGCCACCTCCACCTTCCGCTCACTGTCTTGAGCAGGAGGAATTTTGGGGTATACTACATGAGGCGGATCCAGTACAAGCAGCGCAGCAGGATAACCGACAACAGCACAGACAGACCGTTAAACTGAATGGCAAAGCAGTAATTGGTCTGAGAGACACCGGAGCCACTATGACTTTGCTCCAAAAGAACCTTGTTTCCGAACACCAGCACACTGGAGATACTGTGGCAGTGAGGGTGGCGGGAGGTGCAGTGTTCCGTTTACCGGTTGCCCGGGTTCACCTGGATTGGGGGGTGGGCTCTGGACACGTGAATGTGGGGGTCATGAAAGACTTACCGGCCGATGTTTTGCTTGGGAATGACTTGGCCCCTTTGGTGTCCGCTTATGCTCCAATGGGACCTGCCGCTATCAACCCAGTGACTACCCGTGCCCAGACCCGTGCTGCTGGAACCAGCCCACCTGCTGCTGAGACCCAGGTAAGGACCGAGTCCCCGACTGGTACCATAGCACAGACCTTTGTTAACTGGGATTCCCCAGAGGAGTTTGGGAGGGAAACTCAGACAGATTCGACCCTCCAGAAGTATAGGGACAGAGCAGATACTGGAGAGGAAGGATTAGATGGGGAACGGTATGAGTGGGTGGGGGACAGGTTGTATAGGATCCCCAAGCTTTCCCCGAAGAGTGTTGCCCCTCCGCCGAATCGACAGCTGGTAGTGCCCGCGAAATACCGGCAGGAGATTCTGCGGATAGGGCATGATGTTCCGTTAGCTGGACATCTAGGTTCTCGCCGCACAGCCTATAGGATCATGCAGAACTTTTTTTGGCCAAACTTCAATCAGGCTGTGCGGACATACTGCAGTACGTGTGACACATGTCAACGGATAGGAAAGCGGGGGGACCACCCAAGAGCTAGGCTTATGTCTATGCCTATCATTGGGGAGCCCTTTGCCCGCATAGCCGTTGACATTGTGGGTCCACTGGCCAGGGCTAGCCCATCCGGTAAGAAATATATTCTCACCGTGGTGGATTATGCCACTCGCTATCCGGAGGCAGTAGCGCTGTCCAATATAGAGGCAGAGACAGTTGCTGATGCCCTGGTTAGGATTTTTACCAGAGTCGGGTTCCCTCAAGAGATTCTCTCTGACCAGGGAACCCAATTCACCGCTGTGCTCACCCAGCAACTGTGGAAGGTGTGCGGTATTAAACCGCTGCTTAGCTCACCTTACCATCCACAGACTAACGGTCTCTGCGAGCGATTTAATGGCACCCTCAAACAGATGCTGAGGACCTTTTCTGACACTTGCAGAGACTGGGAGCGATTCCTGCCTCATCTGTTGTTTGCCTACAGAGAGGTGCCCCAGGGAGATAATTAGGTTTCTTCCCCAATTATCTCCAAGGTAAAGAAGACGGAATTATGGGCAAGATGGGAAGGGCTATTATTGAAGCCACTGCGATTGGCTACTGTCCAATATGTGTTACAGTCTTCCACAAGGTCCCCTCGGGGAGTGTCCACCTTGTGGAGACCTGCATAAATACTGGGCAGGTAGCCCCCATTAAACAGATCTTCATTTGACCCTCAAGACGGAGCTTGGTCTCGTTTGTGGGGGGAATTATTATTGGGACAGCGTTTTCGTATTTCTAGCTGTGGAAGGCGTTCGACTGTTTGGCTGATCGGGAGTTGCCGTGTTCGCGGACTTCGTTCGGGAGTTTGGCGATCGGCTGGATTTAAACTGCATTTCTGGAGAAGGGGATTATTGCCTAAACGGCGGCTTCATCTACCCGACGGTACGTGTCGTAACACTATTGATCCCAATTAGAACGTTGTGGTTAACCGCAGACACTTCTCAATTAAACCGAATTCAGGGTGGTCGTCGTTCGTATGTCGACCACGAGGCAGCGGCCATTTTAAACCACGCGAAAGCCCAGCGGTGTTTGGCTCTATTTCTATGGAACCAAAAACTGACACTTTTTCTGCCGAACACCGCTGAAACAACGGAACGCCTGGCTGTCTCCACGAAAGCATACGAATACCGGCCGTTCGGGAGGTTTGGAGCATACGAAAATACTTAACCCAGATAGCCTTCCCATGGAGTCATTCATATACCGAAAGACTGCAAGAACTTTGACTCCATGGCGATTGAACTATGTGTGTGGGATCTGAGCGCTATTCTCTAATAATATGCACTCAGATCCAGGCTATCTGGGGATATGTGATACGAATGGGAAATGTTCGGTTATTTTAAAGTTATGCATTTTTATGTCTTTTATGATTTTATATTTAAAATGGCGACTGGCTTTGTCCTGGAGATAATTGAGATACTTGGTAATTATCTCCAGGGCAGAGGGGAGGGAATCATAATGCACTGTGGGTAAAATCTGTGACTGTGTGTCTGGAATGTCCCCATATCTGTCTGTCATTTAAGTCTCCCATTTGGTCCCCTAGGGGAGTGTCCACCAGGTGGGAGACCTGCATAAATATGGGCAGGTAGCCCACAGTAAAGCCAGATCCTGTTTGACCCTCAATGCGGAGCTTCTGTCTCGTTATTGGGGGGATTTCTTCTTCATGTTTAGAGACTGCTGGATGGAACGAAAGCCGCTTGGTTGATATTGTTGTTCGGCGGCTAGCAGCAGTTCGTGTATTGCCGTTCGGGAGTTTGAAGCAGTGAGAGCACGCAAGCGTCCATAGGAAAGCATTGTAAATGTTGATCAGCTGGAATGCGCTACAAGAAGCCTTAAGCGCGTGCGGCGCATTCACGCGGGGATCGGAGGAGGAGAGGAGGCAGAGAGCTCTCCGCCCAGCGCTGGAAAAAGGTAAGTTTAAACCCCTTCCAGAGCCGGGCGGGAGGGGGTCCCTGAGGGTGGGGGCACCCTCAGGGCACTATAGTGCCAGGAAAACGAGTATGTTTTCCTGGCACTATAGTGGTCCTTTAAATAGAAGGGTTCCCAGAACAGACCCCTGAGGGACACCACTTGCCACCTCTGTCCAGCTTGAAAATTTACCATTAATGACAACTCTTCGTACTCTGTTTTTAAGCCAATGTTCTACCCAAGAACAAGCATTTTCATCTAGACCGATTTCCTTGAGTTTGAACACTAATCTATTGTGTGGAACTGTATCAAATGCCTTGGCAAAATCCAAATAGATCACATCCACGGCAACACCCTGATCTATACTTCTACTTACTTGTGTTCTTGTCTCATTAACCAGTGTATGACCATTTATACTTTCACTAATGACTCCACATGTGATTTATTGCCCTCTAACCTCCATTATACTGAGATAACTAAGGGAGGTTATAGGTAGATGGCGTACATCCATTTGCTGCATTTCTCAAGCAATGTGTGGATGAGAGTCTTGCAGTGCAACAATGAGGGGAATGGTGTGAAGATGGGATCCCTATTACAGTATATTATTTATTGTGACGTAGAGTATCACAATTTGTAACCCTATGTTATTAGCCAGGCCTTGAAAGTTACTCGCCCCTGCAAGCCATAGTATACCCTCCCGGGGGGGAATTTCTACCTGCCAATGGACAGTGGCGAGTGAAATGTTTATACTTGTGGCATATATTTAATATATTTTGAGTATTTTGCCTGTCCTAATGTTATTGGTGGTTTTGATCATGTTTATATTTAAAATAGACAATGCTGTCCCCTTCTCGCTGTACCTTTACACACTGTGGGATCTCATGTGACAGATACTCACCCGGTCCTGGGGTTCGTTGCTCAGCACCCAGACCACTGTCATAGTTCTAGTTGTCGTATTAACTTGTGGCAAGATCTGCAGGATGCTGTCCAAGGTGGCCGTGCCTTTTATGGTAGGAGGGGGCTTCCTCATGGATGATGGACAATTCGGCATCCAGGAGCAGAAGTCAAACTGAGGCCAATACAAGACAGAGACAGGTTACAAAACCAGATATAAAGGAAACATCTTCGCAGACTCATAACATTCATTGCACCATCCGGTTATTACAAGGAAACAAGGATTATAAGTTATTGATAATATGTTTCACCAATAAAGTGCTTTATTTATTTCTCTGGTCAATACACTGCCAATACCCAAATATAATGGGAGCAAGATTTATTCTCCCCCGTTTTTTAGTACTCACACACATCCTTAATACATGTGTACATAGCCATACTGTGAGCCTCCAGTATACTCTGAGCTAGAACTAGCTCCTTCTAACTTGGACCATCTTCCATTGCTCTCATCACCCCTTGTAATACAGAAACATACCTTACACGGCACATACACCCATCCCATGCTTCCACTTTTATTTTGATTATAGCTGAGCTTGAGATGCAGGTAAGTGGAAGGTTCTACCTAGCAGCTACAATGGGGATGTCTGGCTAGGTCCTCAGTCTCATTGTTTGGTACCCGCAATACAGGTTAGAGGACTTTGATAATTACCCATCACTTTCCTGCTGTTACTGGATACCTAGCACTTTCAATGTAATGAAATCCCAAACCTGTCTCTGGATTTATATTATACATAAACAGAACAAACCTCTGTAACCTGTGTGAAAAAAAAACGAACACACAAACGCAGAGGAGACCGGAGTTAGAAAGCAGAGAGGAGAAGAGGTTAATGTGGAGGGAGCAATGCTTTAATTTTCTCTTCCAATCATTGACCTCAGAACACTGAGAGATACTTATCGCATTGCTATGAGCGCTGAGGAATATGTTGACACTATATAAATAATTGCAACGGGAAAAGTTTGTCTCATACTAGTCACAGCCATTAGAATATCCTGCCTTGCAGTGGTGGAACTACCATGGTCGCAGGGGTCGCAGCTCTGACCGGGCCAGTCACTCCAGGAGTCTGTGCTGCACTGTAGACCCCTCCTAATGCATACTGAGGAATAAGATCCCCACTGTACCACATGGAGAAGACCTTCACTAGCTCTCCCAAAGGTAGGGAGGCTGGATGGGCCTCAAAAAATAAAACCACAATAATTAAATGAATTTGAGTGTGTGTGCAAGGATTTGTAAATGTGTGTCTCTGTCAGTGTCTGTTAGTGAATGTGTCAATTTAAAATCATTGAGAGTGGGTGTCAGTGTGGCTGTCAGTGAGTGACGTGTCAAATCAATGAGATTATGTATCTGTCTTTGAGAGTGTCTGGCACTGTCAGTGTGTGTGTCTGTCTGTCAATAAGTGTGTCTGTCAGTGTGTGTGTGTTTGTCAGTGTCTGTCAGCAAGAGTTTCAAATCAGTGAGAGTGCATGTCAGTGTGTCAGTCAGTGATATTATGTGTCTGTCATTGATAGAGTGTGTCTGTCAGTGAGTGTTTGTGTCAAATGAGAGTGTGTGTCTTTTTTTTAATTTGTGAGTGTTTGTGTCAAATCAGTGTGTGTCTGTCAGTTACTGTATTTACCAGTCAATGAGTGTGTGTGTGTGTCTGTCAATATGTATGTGTCTGTCTGTCAGTGAGTGTGTGTCAAATCGGTGAGAGTGTGTGTGTCTGTCAGTGAGAGTGTGTGTCTGTCTGTGTGTATCAAATCAATGAGGGTGTGTCTGTCAGTGAGTGTGTGTGTCAAATCAGTGACAGTGTGTGTGTGTCAGTGATTCAGTGTGTTTGTCTGTCAGTAAGTGTGTGTGTGTGTCTGTCAGTGAATCCGTGTATGTCAGTGTATCTCTGTCAGTGAGTTTGTATGTGTTTCTGTCACTGAAAATGTGTTTGTTAAACCGTTTGTGTGCCAATTACTATGTGTCTGTCAGTGAGTGTGTGTGTGTGTGTTAGTAAGTGTATGTCAGTGTCTGTGTATCAATGAGAGCATAAAGGGGGCCTTTCTATGATTCTTGCACCAGGGCCATGTGATTCCTAGTTATGCCTTTGCTGCCTTGGTATTCCAACAATCTACTAAAGCTGAGTGTATTACCACATCTGCTGGGAGGCCCCTCAATACATCAAGATCTACAGAGTGTAGTCATAACGTGTAGTCACTCACCTGGCCGCTGTTTACTGCTGCGTGCTTCGCAGAACACGAGAAGATCACCATGGTCAGGTATTTAATCAGGTCAGGTTTGTTTTCCAGAGATGATGGGATTCCTGGGGATTAGAGGAATATCTGTGACGGTAGTCACCATCACTGGGGATGGAAGACAGACACTTTGGGTGGGCTCCCTAATTCCTTTTGTGTTTTGTCACATTGTGCCTATTATTTGTGCAGGGTATGTTGAATGTATTGCTGGTCTGTGCATCTCCCCCTCCCCCCTTTTTCCTGTCCTATTGTTTCCCCAGCAGGGCGTTGTCCCAGGGACACTGCCAGACCAGTTTAAACTGGCTGCTCTGTCCCTCCTCAATCTCCCATCAGCCCTTGCTATTCTCTGACCCCACCCTTCCTTGTACTATAGTATGTAAATGAGGCTGTTGGGGGCTTAAACTATGTGTGCTGGATTCATTAAAGAGTTGCTGTTTAACCTTCACCATGTGTCGTCTGGTGTTTGGTCCAGGGTGGAAAGGCCCTAAGTGATCCCAGTCAAGCCTCGGCGTCTGGGTCTGAAGTGTTTCAGGGTCCCTAATAGCTACAAGGAAGTAGACTTGGTGGAGGTACTCGGTCGGAGTACTGGAGCTCTGTTACAATATCAAATATTATAAAATAATAGTTCATGGATTCAAAGGTATTTATTGACATGGGACAATAACTACTGTATTGGATATAGCTCCAGAAAGAAAACTGACCCTGTGTGAGAGATACAGCAATATCTTACAATTCCCTACTCTTTTATGTTAGGGTCTCCCTAAAGCAAGGAAACAACCCAGCCAGGAAATATGGTTCACGTTATCTAGAGAGTAGCAGACAGACATCTTGCTTTACATTTAGTAAATCTAAATTCCAGAATATTAATTAGACAGTATGTAAAACATTGCAATCAGATGTGATCGGACGCAGTTGATATTAAGGGCACCCAGAGGACGGGTCAGTGGAGACACTGATGGGGTACAGGGAATAAGGAGAGGACATGGTGAAGTGAGATGATTTGGACGTATGGAAGTATGAATGGGACAGGGAAGGCTTTCCTGACAAGGTAGTTCCAGTAATAAAGGGAATACGAAAGAAAGTGAACAGAATAGGGAAGGAGCACATGGTTTAAGGGCTGAGTAAATAGTATAAAAAATGAATATGCTAATAAATAAGGAGAAATAACTATAAATGTACGATACAATATGGACCAAAAAGAGTATTATATCTAGTGACTGGGCACGGTGCAAGTCAGGGTAGACATAAAAAATACAAAAATATGAAAGTAGAAAGTAATGACTCAAGCTCTCTGGTATAAAAATGTCTAGATAGTTTGGATGTGGGGTAAGTAGCTTTCTGAAAGGCCAGTAAGTCTGTTTTAATAGAGAATACAAGTCACATTGTAAGAATAAAGCCTTCTCTCCTTTTCCTATCAGTAAATAATGGTTATGGAAAGTTAGAAGCATTGAGGAGAAGGTATATCAGTTTGAGAGAGAGAGGGTTTCCGAGACAGACAGACCCAATCAGTCGTGTGTCTTATGAATCCTACCTGAGGACTGATTGTCCAGGAATCCTTTTGTAAAGATTTCTCCCACCCACGCTTGGAGCTCTGGATCCTTTGAGATGGAATCATCATCCTTATAATAGTAATGGACCACGTCTGAGACAAGTCTGAAAGCACAGAATGTAACACTGTTATAAGTGTTGACCATTAGTGAAGATTGATGGAGTCTATGGAAAGCTCCCTGACAGAACAATAGCATTCACTTTAATGCCATTTGATGATATACCAAGGTGGGTCATTAAATGACTGCCGGTCAGTAACAATGTATCCATTCTTCTTAACAGAGTTCCGAATCAGTGTCTGTGTTTCAATTTGTTCCTCTGGAACGAGCTGTAAATATTAGACCTGGACTATCGTACATCTAATAACATTTGAAAGGTTTTGTAGCTTCTATTGAGCGCTAATATCTAACCCAGGTTATAAATTTACTGTTGGATTTTATTAAATGTAAATAATGATTCCTCTGCTTTGTGCTTATGACATATTTATGGTTCTTGTTTATATTGGAGGGTAGGTCTCATACAGATTTCATGTTGTTTCGACTATCATGGATGTTTTCACTTATTTTTAACATATTTAATTGAGATTTTATTGTTTGTGTGTGACACCTATATTAACGCATTTGACATGAATCTTGTTTCTTCTGATGAAGTGCTGCTGGCCACGGGATGCCCAAAGTGTGATATTTTTTGGTGTCTCCCCTGCTGTGTCCCAGTTGGGATTTTTATATCTATATACAGAAATGAAAGTATTTTTATTGTATATTGCTGGCTGATGGATTTAATTTTGACTAAATATCATCCGTAACTATCAGATTTTTATAATTAAAACACTATAGCCTGGCTTATAGAATTCTCCATTGAGTTCCTAATTACACTTTTATCCAGAAATATACAAGAAATCCGTTAGGTCTTTCACAAATTTAGCCGAGGTAAGTTATTTTACTGTGAGTTTTAAAGTTGTATCCACCATTGTGATGAGCTAATCCACAGGATACAGTGGCATTGCCAGGATCTCTCTGGATGTTATTATTGTAGACATGTAGATCACGTTCTCTGTTAATGATGGAGTGAGAGGAACGTGCGGGTAAGGTTACCTCTCTATTGCCAGCCAGATCTTCATCCCATCATCTCTGTAGAAGTAATTTGGAATGGACTCCACGCCTCTGTTCTTGATGTCCTCAGGATGGCAGAGGGAGTCATAGGTTAACTCTTCCATCGCTCTTCTAAGAAGAACATCTAGACCTTTCTGTCCAATGGTTGTTATCTGAGTATAAAGAGATCAATGGAAGAATACGTTCGTAAAACATCTAGAAATAGAATCTACTTAGTTATGCTGGGTATTTTTTTTATTTCCTTTTTTTTTTTACATTTAAATCAATTATGATCAACATAATGCATACAAATTACCATATAAAAGGGAGATTAATTAGGCTATTCAAAGAGAATTGATTATGTTTTTCAGTTTTTGGATCACGATTTTAAATTGCTTCATATTAAGTATTATTCATTATTATATTTAAACTTTTATTGAATGCCTCATTTGGATCTGCAGTAATAACAGCAATATGTGAAAAGGTAAACTTCATGTACTTGAGTCTACTTTCAACTTTATTTGCTAAGTTTTGTTGCATTGTGGGTAACTTGGGCCAAGAAGACTCACTTCAAGCTATCACCCTGCTTGGACAGGATTGGCTGTAAGGCAGTGGGAAGTGAATATTGAGCTAAAAACATAGAATATGACGGCAGATAAGAACCATTCGGCCCATCTAGTCTGCCCAATTTTCTAAATACTCTCATTAGTCACTGGCCTTATCTTATATCTAGGATAGCCTTATGCCTATCCTACGCATGCTTAAACTCATTTGCTGTTTTAACCTCTACCACATCAGCTGGAAGGCTATTCCATGCATCAACTACTCTTCTTTGTACCTATTGTATACAGTATTTCAAGACCAAATGTAAGATACTCCACCGTGTATATATATTTTTGTTTAACTTAGGTTACTCTGTAACTATGTAACAATGAATCCCTTTACAAATAAAATAATGCAATTTGCTATTTTAGCTTTGAATAGAAACGGTCTTCATGAACGGTTGTCCTTACACATTGTATTCTCTGTATGTTACATTATAGTCCCATTTGCACCAATTCTCCTTATGCTGACAGTCTAGGAATCTGTATTCCCAAACACACCAGCAAATTCCCTGTGAAAGTATAAATAGTTCAAACCTGATCAAACGTTCCGCCAGGATTGATAAGAGTTTGTCTAGCGAGAGTGTTGATTGCCAGAGTGTAGCGAAAATGAGGGATAATGAGCTGAAAGGAGAGAAGCACAAAGAATTACACCTCTGTTTTAAAAAAAGTAAATTTTTTAAAAATTATCCTCAAATAGAATATGCTCCGAGATTTAAATGTAGGTTTCCTAGTAGTTCATTTGGCCGCAAGACGTGATCCTAACGACCGGACATATTTTTAGTTGACTCTGTGTGTCCCATTGTTAGTTTTGTTGAATTATTTGTTGCTAGGCAGGGGTGGACAATTAAAACATATTCCTGGTGAATCCATGGATATCAATGGTTTAATAAGTAATTATTGGCATAATTATCATTTATTTAGTGTCAATATATTCATGAGAGCTTTACATATATATAGTATGGATATATAACCACCAGTTACAGACTGAAGAAGACCCTGCTCAAACCAGCTCACAGTTAGTTATTCCACCTTGTATTGTTGGTGCCTTCCCTGCAGTCTCTATGTCAGGGTATAGTTTACATGGAGTCGTACTACTCCAGGAGTGAAGTCATTGAGCTTAATTTCTCATGGAAGGTATAAAATGATGCAGCAAACAGTCTCTGGGTCCTCCTGAGTATGGTAAAACCATCTGAAGAATCCCTGACCTGGACCAGGCATAGACACTCTGGATAGTCCACCTAACACTTCCTGCTGGAAGTACCCGGATACCAGCTCATGGTGTCATGTCTGGTGGAGTTAATGCCAGACACTTCTACCTGACTTCTGTAAAGTGTTTCTCCTGCACTTTTCTGCAGGAATTGGTGGGTTGTAATAGTGTATAGTACACATGCATTTCTGACTACGATAATATATTATGTGCAGTAAGAACTCCCCATGACAACTAGCTTACACCTTTTAGAAGAGCCTGGGGCAGAAGATCCAATCTGTAATTACTGCTGCTAGGCTGTATCCTTGGTTGGTGATATTTCTCTCCAAAAATTTGAACATGGTTAAATCCAGTAGCACATATTCTGATGTTATGTCCCTGTGCTATTGTATGCGGTGCAGTGCTTCTATTATGTATAAAATGCAACCTGTGCATGATTTACTATAGCCCTAGATTCAGACAGACTCTGAGGACATTTCAATCTTGCCTCCAGTGCCAACCTACCTTACATTTATAGTTGAACTCCATATATTCTGAATACATAAGAATATACATTTTTCCATAGTCCTTATTTGAATGGTTTGTGAGACTTTGTTTTTCACAATAGCCATTTTGTAACAATGCTTTATATTAAATAGAAATTTGTTAGCTATTAACTGTTTATTAAATGTTCAAGGGTCTTCAACCTAATCCCTACCGCCAACTAGTGGGCGATTCAGGCTTTCAGGTGGGCGGTGGGGAGTTCTGCATAAAATACCCTGTGGGCCGAGAAGTGCAGTTACTCTGAGTCAAATGCTTGCAGTGTCATCACGATCACATACTCAGATCACCTGGATTGGCTGCAGTGGGGACTGCCTAGAAGTTAGTTGTCATCACTTACCTTATACACTGGATGGCCCATTGGAAGCTGTCTGGTAGTTGCAATACTAAAGACCTCAGCAAAGAGATGAGTGTAAAGTAGGTGAGATACAGCTTCATGGTACTGGAAGTCAGCATTGCGCACCCACATCTTGGCAAGGGTCCAGTCCCACTCAGGGTCACTGGGCAGGAATATCGGGGAGTCTTTTCCTGGGGTTTGACCCAACTGGAATAAAGAAACACAAAAAGGTTGGATCAGTGAAGAAAATGACCAATGCTTTGCAGACCCATGGCATCTTGTCAGTTAGTTTGACTACTTAAACTGGGGGAGGGGGGGGGCGGAGAGGTGCCAGGGTCCTCTTGGCAGCAGAGCACACTGCAGTGGTGATAGTGCTTGTAGTATTTATTTCTTTAATAAAACAGCCTATTCACGCCAAGGGTGCATAATAGAATATTGTCATTTAATGAAATCTGTGTAGTACATATACGGTTTGGCCACTTGGTAGAGGTCAGATGATAGAAGGGGTAATGTAAATTGTATAGGAATGTGAAAGGGGTAGATGGTTTACAACATGGATTGATCCTTTGATTAATCAAAGGCTCTGCAAGGTGTGAAATTCTACACTTGAGGTGCCTGTATGTCTAGTTCCAATGTAAACTGACTTCAACCATATGGCCCGTACCTCTTAATTGATTAGTTAATTTCTTTAATACATTATTGATCATTAGCCTTGTGTTCATGTATCATATCCAAAAGAAATATTAATACTTACCCACAGAAAATAATTAAGCCTCATGTTTATTATATTTAGAATGGGACAAGCACAATCTTCTAATCAAGTCTAAACATGATTTGCGTAACTTAACCATATGACAAGCGATTGTGATGTCCGCTATATTAGCTTACAAGTAAGGAGTGTGACATATCTATGGAATGGAAAAATGGTAACACATTCATAGATGCAATTATTATTTCTGTGGCCTCTACCTCTCCACCTCTCCACCTCTAGGTCAGGCTTGGTAATCCACAGGGTATCTATCTAATGATTCTGAAATGTGTTTGTACTTGCTTGGGGTCAGAATCTAATTGAGTGAATCACCATCTTCCTTGCCAGAGATCCCCTGGGCAGAAGTTTTACTTTGAAAACCTATGTGAGTAAGTGTTTAGAACTTCTGTTTTTTTTTATCCCTTTTGTTTTTATCTGTTGTTGGTGTAAATAATATATCATCTAATTGTTGTATGCATTGTGACTATTTTTTGCTCATTATAAATATTCTTTTATTAAGTTCTGCCTTTGTCCGGTAAAGAATCACGTTACCTGAAGAGACTAATCAATGAGTGTTTTGCAATTGCATAGGTATTGTGCTAAGTTGTATTTTGTGGGTTTTTATTATTACGTCTCCTGGGGGACCAAGGCACCCCATTTATAAATTGTCTTGGCAGTGGCGGTGTTAAAATAGTAATATTTATATTATTATGGTTAAGTGTGGGTGGTGTTAAGTGGGATGTTATCATTGTTTCCGGTCTAGTGCAGACATATAGTGAACTTTAACCCTTTCACCACCACAACTACGTCACGCGCACTCTTGAAGTAGGGTGAGGACTGAAGTAGACATTGAGGATTGAAGCAAACTCTTGAGCTTCCTCTATTGCCTTGCCTCAGTCAAACTCCCGTCTAAAATGTTGAGGCAATATTTTTTTTTTACTTACCTTGTGTGATGGTAGTCACTATCACTGGGAGCAAAAGGACATTTTACAATGGTTCCTAAATGGCTCCTATGTCTAAGTCAACCTGTGCCCATTATAGGTGCAGGGTGTTTATAATGTGTGTGTGTGTGCATGCTGTTAAATGTTTTGCCTGCTCTCCTGTACTGCTGAGGATTGCTACCAACTAGGCGGATTTGGCAGTGGAGCGCCCTCTGTTGGTAGCAACAGCAATATACACTACCTGAATAGCAACGCTGGTTAAATTGCATATTCAGGTAGATTTGAATATTGGAAATTCTGCAGGCAGGACAGATATTTTGTGCTGGTTATTGTCTTCCCCATCCCTTTATAAATATGTTATTATGCTTGTTAGCCTTGTTTGCGCGTCGCTGTCCCAGTGTTGAACTGATTCTCGAAGGTTCTGGTATTCCTGCTCCAGTTCCCATTCTAGTGCAACCAGACGGGTGATATCTGGGTCCCGGCCTGTAGTATTAGAAACCTCCAGGGCGTCTTTACAGTACTCCTAGATTTCCCAATACCGAGACTCCTCCGTGCTGCCAAAGTCCCAATCCTCCTCCAACTCCTCCTGAATAGACCAGGGTCATTGTAGTCATCACCCTCTGGTCTTTTGTTTTCTGCCATTCACGGGACCTTTGGACCGAGTACCACCATAGCACCCGGTATGCTTTGTCCAGCCACAGTCCCTTCTTGATCAGACGCTGGAGTTCTATGATTCCCTCTTCCCGGGGCGGATCCTCCAGTCAAAGCATCCTCAGCACTGCTTGCTTCTGTCTGCACTGTTCTGAACTGGGAAGGCTCACTCCCGCTGGAACTTGAGTCTGCTCCAGGGCCTTGTACCAGAGATCTCGCTGTATCTCCTCTCTCCAGTCAAGTTCCTCCTTGGTTGAAATAGGGCCATAATCCTAGGCCAGTGCACCTTGTAGTCTCCACTGGAACTCCTCCTCATATGGGGTTGCTGCCCGGGGCTAGCTTGCTCCATCTCCTGAGTTCCTCTTTAGACAGGGACGCTGCTAGACCCTTCACTGCACTTCCTGGTTTGGGATATCCATTTGGGAGAAAAATCCCGCCGCCTACCACCAGTGTAATGGATCCCCTATACTCTGACTGAGTACATCTGCTGTAGTTCTCCAAATCCCAAGTGACATAGTGAATTTAGCTCTGGTATACCCAAACATCAGCCTAGACTTGATGAAAGGTACAAGAAGACTGACTTTATGGCCAGATGGCCCACTTATATACACAGCAAGGATACAGAACCATGCCCAGAACACCCCCACAACACTCCCATGAATATCTGAGCCAGAATGACTAAGCATAATAACATTGATAACTAACAGGAACTGCACTCAATCCTTCATCCTTAGACCAAGGGTGCAAACAAACCAGGTGTCACATTCTTATGATGATAAGCAAGACTTTTTTCTTTTTGTTACCGCTCCTTTAAATGCAGTTCCTGGTTTTTGCCACTAGTCACATCATACTCACCTGTATCCTGTGTTAATATTGGATTATTATGAACTCTCCTGTGCTTGCCTGTATTGCATACCTGCCTGAATTGCTTCAAACCTGCACCATAACTACGTTGACTACTATTGATTGAACCAGCTTACCTGATTCATTCAATCCTGCACCCTTCCTTCTTGGATTGCTATTGAAATTATCCTAATTACCTTGATAAATACTGTGACAGATCCACCTGTATAACTTGGGATTGCTGGTTCGTCTGTTTTGCCGTTTTCGTGGAACTACTCATTCATATGCCTCTGTTCGTATAATGGACGTTTTTTGCCGAACAAACTACCGAACGGACGGCCACCCAGAAGAGAAGTGTGCTGCTGGTTAACCTCTTGATCCCAATTAGAACGTTGTGGTTAACCACAGACACTTCTCAATTAAAACCGAATACAGGGTGGTCGTCGGTCGTATGTCGACCACGAGGCAGCAGCCATTTTAAACCATGCGAAAGACCAGCGGTGTTCGGCATTGATTTCATGGAACTGAAAACGGACACTTTCAGCCAAACACCGCTGAAGCCGCCAACCTCCATTCTCAATCGACAGAAGTGTGCGAACACTGGCCGTTCGGGAGGTTTAAACGCATGGATGGACTTACCCCAGATAGCCTTCCCATGGAGTCAATCGCATGCCAAAAGACTGTAATAGACTTTGACTCCATGGCGATTGAACTATGCGTATGGGATCTGAGCGCTATTCGCCAATAATATGCACTCAGATCCAGGGTATCCGGGGATATGTGATACAAATGGGTAACATTCTACAAATGTAAAGTTATGTATTTTTATATGTTTTTCTGTGTGGAATTTAAAATGGCGATTTGCCTCTGTCCTGGAGATAATTGAATTACTTCTCAATTATCTCCAGGGCAGAGGGGAGGAAATACTAATGCATGCTGGGAATATTCTGTGTCTGTGGGTCCTAACCTGCCATATGTATGTCTTTTGTTACAGTCTCCCATTTGGTCCCCAAGTGGGAGACCTGCATAAATACGGGCAGGTAGCCCACAGTAAAGCCAGTTCATGTTTTACCCTCAATGCGGAGCTTGGTCTCGTTATTGTGGGGATTTATTACCGACGACTAGAGACTGCCGGATGGGATTATTACCGCTTGGGAGATATATGCGTTCGGCTACTATTGGCGATTCGTGAGTTTGGAGCTTGTGAAGTGAAGTGCCCGTACGGATCCCGTTCGTGAGTTTACAGCGTTCCCCTGCTTGCGGTTCGTATGATTGTACTTGATACGCATGAAGCCTGTGTTATTGCAAGAAGGGAGGATTCACTAAACGGCGGTTTGTGCATTTGATGCTGAGGGTACCGTAACAAATACAACCTGCAAAACCCATATCTGGACATTGCTGAAATTTGATTTGCACTCTTGGTTGTTTACTTTATAGGGCATATTTCCTTAACGATTATTTCTCCCTTTTGCTTATTATTTATTATACTAAAAATACTGTTATCATGTCAAAGGCATCGAATAATGTCACTTCTGTTAAATCTGGCAATCGTATCCTATCTTACCTGATCGAGAACATGACACCAGGGCTCAGCACCAATTCTCAGAAATCATAGAAGAAAAAAGAAAGGTTTGGGCACTCCAGGTTTCAGTCATAGGCAATTTATTGTCACCAAGGCACACATTGCCCAAATTGTCTAAATAGCGCTCAGATTCCACGAATACAGCCTAATTGCCACCAGGGTAAAGTTTTGACCTACCGCACTGGAGGCGTATGCCCAAATCTGTTCCAGAGATTCAGTGGTAGCGGTCGAACAAACTGTCGAACGATTCCCCTGGCTCATAGGTAGCGTTTGTTTAGCTTGTTCGTGCGAACAAACCTAACGAACAGCACTCTCCTGGCTTGTCGCAGAAAGCAGCAGGCGTTCATATAATTTTACCGGTGTTCACGAGATCAATCGTGCGACAAGATGGCCGCTGTTTTCTCCAGCACGTTATATGAACTGTGAACACACAGAAAGAGCACTTAAGTCTGTGGTTTCTTTGTAGTTAATGAGCCAGTGGAGTGGTCGGTGTTCGGTAGATTTATCTACCGAACGCAGAGAAAGTGTTTCTGTTTGGGAACTATATAAAACAAACCAGGGAAATGTCTTGTGAACAAAAGGGAAAAATATTAAGTTTGGCACAAGGTATATTGCCCATAGTTGGTGGGCAGGAGGCTAGCTTCCACACTCCTCCAGGAGTTTGTGGCAAACATAAAGGGTAAGGAGCGTTTGTCACAATGCTATTATAATTTCCTGTATATTTTGTGACATGTTTTGTAATTTAAATTTTATTATGTTTGTCACAGCAATGTATTTGTAATGATCATTGTAACAGATCTCCTGGCACCCCGACTGGGTACCTCCGTTAACGGATGCTTCCTAGCTGACGCCGAGGACCATAAGCACCGCACTGGACACACAACCACCGCAGACTCCTCAACCGCCGTAGCTTAACTGCCGTCTTCCTTCCACCCTGGATCAACCAATGACATCATGGACCGTGTGGGAGAGACCTCTCCTTCAGGACAGCGTAACAGGAACAGCTCTTAAAAGAGCTAAGTGATTAGAACCCAGGGGAGTATACAGAGTATAGCAATCCCGAGTGTGATTATAGCAGTTCCTCTCCAATCACGAGACAAGACTACGTGTGGAGGGTCAAACAGGAACAGAAGGTTTAATGGCACACACGGGTCTTTTATACATGTTTTATAGCAAAAGTGACGCCCAGATGGACCTAGTTGGGCACCGAATACAAAACATACAATTCTTTCCATGTATCATTGCTTAAGCCCCTCACTTGCAATCAATACGCCCTGGGTAGTAGGGGATCAAGACGAGTACGAAGTCCGATCTATATTAGACTCCAAGTTCTCTAGAGGTGTTCTATCTTATCTGGTTGACTGGAAAGGATACGTAGTTGGATTCCTGCTGACCGGGTTCATGCTCCCCGTCTTGTCCAGTCGTTTCACAACCGTTTTCCTCACAAGCCGGCTCCTTCCTGCCCGGTGAGCAGTCTTCGAGTGGGGGGGTACTGTCACGGCTCGCTGTGATGTGCATCTGTGCCCGAGCGGCACGACCACTCCAGCATGCTGAGCTTACCTGCTCAGTGGTGAGCAGGGAACCACTCCTCCACGGCGCTCGGAAAAAACCAAGATGGCGCCGACCAGTCTCATATACTTCAGATATGTTCTCTCTGTAAAGACACAAGATGAGCCAAAACCAGCTTGAGACCTTAACGGGGACCCACCAAAGGGCAGGCTAATTGAGCTGTTGTCTGTTCTCACCTCTCTTGCTACTTGTTTTTCTTTCCTCAAATAATATGACTACTTATTGTGTTAACATATGTATTCTTAAGATATGGCTTATTTTACTATAATTTAACTTCACTGTCATTAAAGGGATACTCTAAGCACCAAACAACTTTATCTTAATGAAGTGGTTTTGCTGTATTGATCATACCTCTGCATCCTCACTGGTCAATTCTCTGCCATTTATGAGTTAAATCACTTTTGTTTCTGTTTATACAACCCTTGCCACACCTCCCCTGACTGTGTCTCACACTGCCTGCATGAAAAAAATGGTTTCATTTTCAAATATATCTTACAGCACAGTGTGTTTATGATAAAAGTTCTTATCTAATTCTCTGTTAATTGAACTTTAATCACACACAGGAGGCTGCAGCAAGCTCTAGCAGACAATTAACAGAGCATGAGGCATGAAATTCTAAGTTAAACACACTGCACATTAAAGGAAGTTTAAGCATTTACTTCTTTAAAGGAATATTTAGGAAGACTGTGCAGGTAACATTCGGAGAAGTGTGGCAAGGACTGCATAATCAAGTTGATTTAACTCCTAAATGGCAGATAATTGAGCAGTGAGGTTGCAGTGGCGTGATCTATACACCAAAACTGCTTCATTAAAACACATTTGTTGGTGACTATAGTGTCCCTTCCCTGTCATTAAATAAATGCATATTATGTTTTAGGGTAGTATGTATAAATGGTTTTAGTTTAACTGTAAGATACAGATTCATCACCTTCACATTCCTCACCTGGATTGCTATAGGAATTATATAATCCTGGGGACTTCTCCAAAGGAGACATAGCGGGGCAGCGAGGTATTGCTTTTGGCCATTGATTGTATTGATTGGCAGTCCTTGGAGAATCTTGTAATCAGCCAGAAAGACGTTCCCTTTCTGTAAAGTGAGATACAAATAGAGTCCTTGTTAGTCACTTTACTGATAACTCCAAGATCAGTTTTGTATTATTTTCTGGCTAGGAAACAACAGGAGAGATGTGGTCAACATGGACTGGATTTCAAGTTAACTCAATAACACATAATCTGCTCTCTAGCACCACATATGTTCTGCTACTCATTGCTGTAAACGTTAGCAATCCATGATGAGATACTATAGATTGTTCACAGTGCTTTTATGTATTTCCTGGGATACTTGATATCTCTAATACAAAGTTTCTATTACATAAACCATGACTGTTCCCCTCCACCCCATCACATCCTTAAAAAACTCCCAGCACCATAACTACCACAGAGCTTCCTCTACTAATTGAAGAGCTGAAAACTCTGAAAACATCTCCGTGGATACTTTACTGTTTTGATTGATTGGACATTCTCACCTGTAGTTCTGTCTGGAAGTTGGTGGAAGTCCCTAGAGACCCAGCCACCATGTGGTCAGTCACTGGGAAGTTGTCAGGAATGCTGGAACATTGTTGGATTTGTATTGGATTTACTCCGTTCAGAAACTGGTACCCAAAAAAGGTGTCCCCCTTCCATACTTGGGAAACTCGCTCTGTAAGACAAAATAATTTTAAAAAACCACACAGCACAGCCAAATCATCATTTAAAAATGTGAACGTTTTGTGTCCAAACTATGCAAGCTGGGATTCACATCTGAGTGTTGAATTTGAGTAGAATACACATTTCTTTTAACTTCACCAGATCCTCGTTAAGTTTTGCTTGATGCACATTAGGACTCTGAGGGTTGAGGTGGGGATGTGGGTGTGAGGGTCCAAGTGGATGAAGAGTAACAAAATACTAGTTTAAAAAATTTACTTCAGACATTTCCTTCTCAAAGCAGCCTGTAGCGGAAATCCAGTATTCCCCAGGTTATCTCCGCTTAAGATCCCAGTGAGGCTCAGGAACAAGTAATTATAAATCCATAAAGCAAGGTTTCCAGCAGGTAAAATAATCCAGCAATATCCCAACAGCAATCCCAATAACTGGACGACACACAGTATCAGGAGCAGAACTAAAAACCTTTATTTCACAGTGGCCTTATAAAGCATGCTCCCATGCTAGGGAGGGATTTTCATTAATTACTACAGTATCCAATCCGGCAGTAGTAACCTCCCACACATCTCCTACCCTCAGCCTGCATCATAATCCCCTTATACTGTACACAAATTTCCCCAGTTTCTTGATGTACCCCTAAACCTAGGGGTAGCCCTTTAAATGGCACATCCCCTCACTTCCTCCCAGTTAAAGAGACAGCCGCGTGAGAGGGAAGAGGCTACATGCTCACTCATAAATGCCTCAGCCCCGACCCCAAAAGGTAAGCTATCTTGTAGCTACAATGTTTGTAAATTGTGTGTGTATCTGTGTGTAGGTGCCAATGTGCATATTTGTGTGAATGTGCAAGTGTGAGCATATTTGTTTGGAAGTATGTACCAGTGTGTGTTACTGAGTGTGTGTGTGGGTATCTGTGTGTATGTGCCAGTGCACCTGTGTGTCAAGTTGCGTATTTGCCAGTGTGTGTATCAGTGTGTGTATCTGTGTGTCAAGGTGTGTGCATGTGTCTGTGTGTAAAACCATAGGCACAAACACACGCCGCATGTGTGTGTGTGTGTATATATATATATATATACACACACACACACACACACACACATACACTGCTGTGTGTGCTGTTAGTGTGCTGTGTGAGGGTGCTGTGTGCTGTTAGTGTGATGTGTGTGTGAGGGTGCTGTTAGTGTGATGTGAGGGTGTTTGTGTGTGTGTGTGTGTTTGTGACTGTGCTGTTTGTGTGTGAGGGTGTTTGTGTGTGTTTGTCCTGTGAAGGTGCTGTTTGTGTGAGTGTCGTGTATTTGTGAGGGTGCTGTTTGTGTGTGTGTTTGTGAGGGTGCTGTTTGTGTGCTGTGTGTGAGGGTGTTGTGCTTTTTTTAAAGGTGCCATGCAAAGGGTGTAGCAGAACCCATTTTTGGCTGTCCCATTCCTTTTGTTTATTGTTGGCACTGCAGAGATTTTCCTGTGCCTGGAGTACACAAAATTCCATGTAACTAGATGTGGCCATACTTTGTTCGGCATAAGAATACCAGCTTACATGTGAACGACTAAATTCACCATACGAACAAAGTACCAAATGAACCGGACCACCCTGATGTGAAGAATTGATATAATTTACCTCCCTGATTGCTTTTCATATTCCCTTGTACGCACGAAAACGCCGCTATAATCCCTGGGTGATCGCCATTTCGGCAGCCGAACACGTGGCAGCCATTTTAAATCCGCGAACAGTGGTGTTTGGTCGTCGACTGTCTGGAACTCAAAACGGACACTCAACTAGCCGAACACTGCTAAGACCTCCAGGACTTCAGAATTCACTGATGGAAACCCACGAACGGCCCGGCTTTCGGTAGGATGAATCCCACGATTAGAGGGATTTGGTAACTAGGGCGTTACCGAATGTACTATGGATAACTCCCGAACCCCTGGTCTGATCTGGGTGATTTTTGGATATGTTTCTCACCCAGATCAGGGCTACCATATTAAAGGGGATATTCCACATATTTGGGGTACATCTGAAAAGTGGGGAAAAGTATGCCTTGCATAATTGTATTATTTGCTAATCTAAGGGGAGGAGATGTGTGGGAGGTAACGTCTATGGGATTGGTTACTGTACTAATTGTGGTGAATCCCTCCCTTGCATGGGAGAATCTCATAAAAGCAGGAATGTTGCCATTAAAAGTTAGTTCTACTCCTGATACTGTGTGTTGTCCAGTGATTGGGAAAGGTGATGGGATACTATTGGATTGTATTGCTGATTGTGCTGAATATTCTCTTGGATTTACTACTTGCTCCTGCATCCTCTTAATATATTGGAGTTTAGCTGTGGGAAATCAGCTCTCCGCTACAAAGCCATAGGTTGCTGACCCCTGCCCTAGGTGATTGTCAGCAAGGGGCTGCTTGGTGCAAAGTTCTGCCCAGCATATGAGTAGTATGGTTGGTTAGGAGCGAGCTCAGTAACTGACTGTATAGTGTGTGCATGTTTCCACCCATACTTTCAGATCCTACACAAGGGGCATGACAGTCATAGGGAGAGAGCTGGGGACATAGCATAGAGAGGCCTCACTGTTAGTGCAGGGGTCTTCACATCAAGCTTCAGGTGTTTCTGGAACCTAGCAACGCCTCTATGACAAACAAACCTGAATTTTTTGTTGTGATGAAATAGAAGACCCTCTCCATTTCATTTAGGTTCCTCCACGATGCTGTGCTGCTATCATATCCTTTCAGCTTAGTAGCAATCACACTGTGTGTTAAACAAGAAGTTCACGGGAGGATGGGTTAGTACATGAATGTCATCAATGACTATCAATGCGTATTACACTGCACAGGATACCTACGTTGTGGCTGAAGTAGCGAGAAAGCTTGTTATTTTTGTGGAGGAGTATTGATCATTCAATAGTAGATCTTTAATGTTATCCACATGTATGCAAAAGGGAACGCCTTCTGAGTAAAATCGCCACCTGAGAGACAGATAAAAACATGAGCGGCCAGGATGCTTCCAATGTTGGTTAACTCCATTTAAATAGATTATTGTATATCTCAAAAGAATTACTCTGCCCTCCACCTGGCTGTGCCACATTCTGCGGCTGGTTGGCATCTTACCGGTGTGTATTTCTTTTGTCATCCAGTTCAGTTCTTCGCTGCTGCTGGATCACAGGATTTACAGTACCCAATAATAATTTCCCTAAAATATAAAAATCATAATTACTATTATACATTATCACTCTAGAGATATAGATTCTGTGGAATATAGAACGGCATTGAGTTCACTATCACAGCGATAATATGGTAATAACACACTGTATTATCATACACACACACAACATTCAGACTCCTCCAGCACTATCACAGTGATAATACGGTAATAACATACTGTATTATCATACACACACACAACATTCAGACTCCTCCAGCACTATCACAGCGCTAACACGGTAATAACACACTGTATTATCATACACACACACACACTCAACATCAAGACTCCTCCCGCACTATCACAGCGATAATACGGTTGTGATGAGACCAATCTCGCCACTGTGCATTGGAGGAGCCTGGTTGCCCGCCATTTAGACTATGGCCCCATGTTGAAAACTTGATTTTCCCCTGCAAAGACACAAAAGCCGGGTCATTCGGTGCTTGCCCTGTTTGAACGGTGATACCCCAGATAGCTATGCCCTGGAGCCCATTTGTATAATGAAAGACTATGGGAAAGACTTAGGCTCCATGGCAATTGAACTGTATGTGTGTGCTCTGAGCGCCATTCAGTAATAATGTGCGCTCAGATCTGAGCTATCTGTTTTGTGCAATGGCTGCACAGTTATGTGCAATGGCTGCACTGTTTTGTGCAATGGCTGCACAGTTATATATTTTTATGTGTTTTATTGTCTTTTGCTGCCATGTGTTCAATGGAGTTTTGCCTCTGTCCTTGGAGATACATGGATTACTTCCCAATTATCTCCAGGATAGAAGACTCTGTGGAACTAGTTTTGGGCAGAAAAGCCATGCTTTATTTGGTCACAAAGGACTTCGATCTATCTTTTGAACCTGTGGCAAAACCAACCTCGCCACTGTACACTGGAGAAGCCTGGTTGCTCGCCTGCTGCCTTTGGACTATGGCCCCATGTTAAAAGACATCTTTTTTCCCTGCAGAAAAGACTTATTCGTGCTTTTCTGCCTGGTGTTCGGTAGATTCAATCTACCGAACAACCGCACGAGTGAATAGACCACCTGGGAGCTGGAGTGTGCCGGCAATTAACCTCCCTGAAGCTGCGGTTAACCGCAGCTTAATTGACGAATGCTGGGTGGCCGCCATTCGTATTGACTGTGACAGATTCATCTGTATTGCTGGTTCGTCTGTTTCCCTTTGTTCGCTGGATTTCCTGTTCGTATACCCCCGTTCGTGTAATTTGCAAACTACCGATTGAAACTACCGAACGAACGACCACCCAGGAGAGGAGTGTGCTGCTGGTTAACCTCTTGGCCCCAATTAGAACGTTGTGGTTAACGCAGATACCTCTCCATTCCATTCGTACGGGTGGTCGTCGTTCGCATGTCGACCACGAGGCAGCGGCCATTTTGGGACACACGAGCGCATAGCGGTGTTCGGTACAAATTGTATGGAACTAAAAACGGACACTTAATTCTTCTATTTCGACAAGGCATGCGAACGTCGGTCGTTCGGGAGTTTTTATTCATTCGTATGGACTTTTACCCAGACAGCCGTCCCATGGAGTCATTCGTATACCGAAGGACTGGTAAAAGACTTTGACTCCATGGCGATTCGACTAGATACATCGGATCTGAGCGCTATTCGGTGAAAACATGCACTCAGATCCAGGCTGTCTGGGGATACGTTACACGAACTATATTCATTCGGTATTTCTTCAGTTATGTATTTTAATGTATTTTTACTACTGTAATTTAAAATGGCGATTGTCTCTACCCTGGGAGATAATTAGGTTTCTTCCTAATTATCTCCGGGGTAGAGAAGATGGATTTATGGGTAAGATGGGAAGGGCTTATATTGAAGCCACTGCGATTGGCTACTGTCTAATATATTTTACAGTCTTCCACAAGGTCCCCTCGGGGAGTGTCCACCTTGTGGAGACCTGCATAAATACCGGGCAGGTAGCCCCCATTAAAGAGATCCTGATTTGACCCTGAAGACGGAGCTTGGTCTCGTTTGTGGGGGGAATTATTACTGGGACAGCGCTTCGTTATTTTTAGCTGTGGAAGGCGTTCGACTGTTTTGTTGTTCGAGAGTTGCCGTGTTCGTGGACTTCGTTCGGGAGTTTGACGGTCGGCTGGATATAAACTGCATTTCTGGAGAAGGGGATTATTTACTAAACGGCGGCTTCATCTACCTGGCGGTGAGTGTCTTAACATCGACAACACGAGGTCGCGGCCATTTTAAACATGCGAATGCACAGCGGTGTTCGACGCTTAATTCATGGAACTGAAATCGGACACTGTTTTGCGCGAACACCGCTGAAGCCGCCGACCTCCCTTCTTGTTCGGTGAAAGTGCATGAACGGCCCGGTGTTCGGTAGTTTTGTTTGAGTGTGTTGTGCCCCAGATAGGAATCCCATGGAGCCCCTTCGCATGAAACGGACTGTGTAAAGACTTTGGCTCCATGGCGATTAAACTGTATTCGTGTGGTCTGAGCGCCATTCGCATAATAATGTGCGCTCAGACCTGAGCTATCTAGGGATATGTAGAACGTATATGTTTTATGTACTGAATGTAATTGTAGGTAATTTTATGTCTTTTACTGTTTGTTTTCTGCCATGTGGTTAATGGAGTTTTGCCTCTGTCTTTGGAGATAATTGAATTACTTCCCAATTATCTCCAGGGCAGAGAGGAGGGATTGTGATGCATTGTGGGATGGTTGAAATGTGTAAGTCTGTGATTGGTCCTTTTACCCTTTGTGTCCCAGTCTCCCAGTCTCCCATTTGGTCACCTAGGAAAGTGTCCACCAGGTGGGAGACCTGCATAAAAGCCGGGCAGTTAGCCCCAGTAAATGAGTTCCTGCTTAACCCTCAAAGTGAAGTGTCGTCTCATTATTGGGGGAGGATTTACTGTATGCTGTTAGAGACTGATTGCCAGGAGTGTAAGCCGCTTGGGGGCTTTTCCTGTTCGTCTGCTAGCAGCTATTCGTGTGTCTCCAGTTCGGGAGTTTCGAGTATTCCCTTGGTTGCAGTTCGGGAGTTGGTGAATTCGTGGGTTTGCAGTTCAGGAGATTGGTGCTTGCAGTAGCTGTCGGTGCAGCTGAAAAAGGGGAATATCGCCTAAACGTTTTTTAACCTCTTTTGGGCAAAACGGTCCGTTACAATTGGTGGCAAGCGACGGGATCATTTCCACAGCCCAGAAGGACAGCTATAAGACAACACCAGTTCCTGGATTACAAATTGAGGGCAACGCCAGTACCCGTACAGCGCCCCTATCTACAAAGGAACTCAGAAAATGGAGGAGAAGTTTCAAAATAGATTGTACTGTTGCATATCCCTGAGGTCTGGAGCAGTGTTAGAGGAGGACATGTTGAGGTACAGAGAGATTGCCAGAGCCGGGTTGTGGGACGAAGCCCTAGAGAAAGTACAGTATTCGCGAGGGGATCGGCGCCGCAGCAGAAGGCAGCGAATCCTGGCTTGAATGGCAGAGCGGAAGCCCCTCCTGAGAAAACAGACCGAAGAAGCGTGGGTGACTAGACTCGAGATTCTACTATATGCAGAACTGGTGCTCGACGACGCATACCAGGCGATACAGTGGTACGCAGCTCAGTGTGTCCCCGAGATGGCAGAGTATGAGTTCCCAGAGATTACATTGGCCCTGGCCTATTTTGGGATAATATTGATGATGAGGACTTTGGGAAAGCTACCGATTCTCATTTTTGGGACCTGTGTTACGACCGAGAAGACATGCTGGGTCTCCCTAGCGCTGTTGATCTCGAGACAGACCTACGGTATCTGGTCGCCAAGGAATGTGACCTGGAGTGGCATTACCTGCAACTCATCAATGAGGCCCGGGAAGAGACAACCGGTCCTGTTCCCCAACAGCAACCAGCGGTACCCGAGGTGGCGGACCTCCTAGAATGGTCCTGCGAGGATCCCCAGCGGAAGTGTGTGTCCCAGGGAGCTGAAGGTGGGTGACTCCTTCCTCCCCAGCGGCAGTGTGTGTCCCAGGAAGCTGAAGGTGTCGTCCTTCCTCCCGAGCGGCAGTGTGTGTCCCAGGGAGCTGAAGGTGTTGTCCTTCCTCCCCAGCGGCAGTGTGTGTCCCAGGGAGCTGAAGGTACCGTCCTTCCTCCCCAGCGGCAGTGTGTATTACAGGGAACTGAAGGTGTCGTCCTTCCTCCCCAGCGGCAGTGTGTGTCCCAGGGAGCTGAAGGTGTCGTCCTTCCTCCCCAGCGGCAGTGTGTCCCAGGGAGCTGACGGTGCCGTCCTTCCTCCCCAGCGGCCGTGTGTGTTCTTAGGAGAGGAGACAGTTGGTCCCTCTCCTCAGCAGTCAAGTGAGTCCCAGGGAGCCGAAAGTACCATCCTCCCTCCCCATCAGCAGGACAATATATTGAAAGGGGAGACAGTCGGTCCCCCTCTCCCCCAGCCGGGAGAGTGTCAGGGAGAAGAGCCCACCAAGGGGAGATGAGAATTGTAGCCCACCAAGGGGAGATGAGAAGCCCCACAACCGTGCAGATGGGACCGTGGTCTCTGCACTTATAGCACAGGGGGTAGGGACTGTCGGTTCTGCCCCCAAGCGACAGGGCGGTTTAGCCAAAGGAGAGACAGTCGGTCTCCCCCTCCAGCAACCAGGCTCCAACCAGACTACTCCCGTGGTAGTGCTGGCACCAGGACAGAGTACCGCTGGTCTCTGCCCACTCAGCAACCCACCCAGTCCGCTTACCAGTCACCCACACAGCCATGGTGAGACGCCTGGACATGGACAACGTTCTCCTCTACCCAGGTGTAGTAACCAGTTCTTGTGGGTGGGCGGTATTACTGATTGTGTTTTGTGGGTGGGCTGCTGGACTAACAAGGGCACTGACCGGCATGAGGTCAGATACCCTGTTAGTCTGATTGGTAAAGGGGAGAAGTGTGGCGAAACCAACCTCGCCACTGTACACTGGAGAAGCCTGGTTGCTCGCCTGCTGCCTTTGGACTATGGCCCCATGTTAAAAGACATCTTTTTTCCCTGCAGAAAAGACTTATTCGTGCTTTTCTGCCGGGTGTTCGGTAGATTCAATCTCCCGAACAACCGCACGAATGAATAGACCACCTGGGAGCTGGAGTGTGCCGGCAATCAACCTCCCTGAAGCTGCGGTTAACCGCAGCTTAATTGACGAATGCTGGGTGGCCGCCATTCGTATCACGAACACGAGGTCGCGGCCATTTTAAACATGCGAATGCACAGCGGTGTTCGACGCTTAATTCATTGAACTGAAATCGGACACAGTTTTTCAGTAGTTTTGTTTGAGTGTGTTGTGCCTCAGATAGGAATCCCATGGAGCCCGTTCGCATGAAACGGACTGTGTAAAGACTTTGGCTCCATGGCGATTAAACTGTGGTCTGAGCGCCATTCGCATAATAATGTGCGCTCAGACCTGAGCTATCTAGGGATATGTAGAACGTATATGTTTTATGTACTGAATGTAACTGTAGGTAATTTTATGTCTTTTACTGTTTGTTTTCTGCCATGTGGTTAATGGAGTTTTGCCTCTGTCTTTGGAGATAATTGAATTACTTCCCAATTATCTCCAGGGCAGAGAGGAGGGATTGTGATGCATTGTGGGATGGTTGAAATGTGTAAGTCTGTGATTGGTCCTTTTACCCTTTGTGTCCCAGTCTCCCATTTGGTCCCCTAGGAAAGTGTCCACCAGGTGGGAGACCTGCCTAAAAGCCGGGCAGTTAGCCCCAGTAAATGAGTTGCTTAACCCTCAAAGTGAAGTGTCGTCTCATTATTGGGGGAGGATTTACTGTATGCTGTTAGAGACTGATTGCCAGGAGTGTAAGCCGCTTGGGGGCTTTTCCTGTTCGTCTGCTAGCAGCTATTCGTGTGTCTCCAGTTCGGGAGTTTTGAGTATTCCCTTGGTATGCAGTTCGGGAGTTTCGAGTATTCCCTTGGTTGCAGTTTGGGAGTTGGTGAATTCGTGGGTTTGCCGTTCAGGAGATTGGTGCTTGCAGTAGCTGTCGGTGCAGCTGAAAAAGGGGAATATCGCCTAAACAGTTTTTAACCTCTTTTGGTCAAAACGGTCCATTACAGAACCAATGGACCAATTTGGATGATTTTGACATATGTTTGTGTTACAGAGACTCCGTTACACAGACTTGTTACATTGTTTCTACTCATTGAGACTCTATTTTAACGGCATTCAGGCCAGGCGAACGGATCATACGAACTATTATAAAGCCTCATTCATCTGTGCGAATGACCGACCACCCAGCCCTAGGCGTGTGCCGCCACTTAACCCCGTCACCCCGCAAAGTTCTAACGGCCAACCACCCACCAAGAACAGATGGGACAACCAGACGGGTAGTGGGGATTCGCATGATTCTGTACCCGGCCTTCGCTCCATGGCATCGAGGTCCCGCCGTCACCCCGCAAAGTACCGAATAGCCGGCCACCCTGTGAGCGGAGCGTGCCGCTTATCAACCTCCCCTCAGGCATTGGGGTCTGCGGTTAACCGCAGGTTAAGTGCCTTTCCCGGACGGGCTCCATTCGTACCATGAACGGACAGGACAACCAGACGGGTAGCGTGGATTCGCATGATTCTGTACCCGGCCTTCACTCCATGGCATCGAGGTCCCGCTGGCCATTGACGGACGCAAAAACATGGCCGCCATCGAGGGCTTAGAATCCGACTACTGAACAGGACTTTATTATGGCAGAAACCTCCTGCTCTGTTCGAGGGAACTGGGCGCAATTTGCACACGTAATGCATCCAGCGCTGAGCTACCGAATGATATGTGTAAAGGACTATATTCGCTTGATAATGCCTGAGTTATGCGGCATTTAAGCCATTCATGGAGAACGAGATGGGGATCGACGAATTCCTAACCGATTTTGAGAGACAGTGTGCTTTGCATCAAATTCCCACAACAGCCTGGCCGCGGATACTGGCAGGGAAACTAACCGGGCGGGCAATGGAGGCGTTCAGGACTCTTAGCACGGAGGACGTCGCTCAATACAAGCTTGTAAAGGACACTTTATTGAGACGGTACGCAGTAACCCCTGACACGTATCTCAGGCAATTCTGCAACACTAAAAAGAAGCCAAATGATACCCATGCCGAATGGGCCCGGAGAGCAGCTACACATTGGATAAATGGGTGTCGAGCAGTCACGGCAGCCGAAGTGTTGGAATTATTTTTACTGGAACATTTTTACGAGGGACTGGAGCAAAAGACCAAGAGTGGTTAAAGGATCACCGACCGAGCGATCTTAACGAGGCAGCGAGACTGGCTGACGAACACCGGGATGCTCGGGTCCAGGAATTTAGCAGCTCCCGAATGGCCACTCGCACCGAACCAAGGGACACGTACCGACCAAACCCACGAACGGAGTTTCGCACGCCGATGCCGGCGGGACCTACCCGATACGCCGGACCATCCAACCATTACCCACAGGAACGTTCCCATCTCACCTGCTACAAATGCAAGCAGCCAGGGCACCTCATTGCTAACTGCCCCCTCAACAGCAACTATCCCTTGAGGAATTACAATGCAGCTTCCTCAGGAAACAACCGCCCAGCATGCGCTTTCTGTGTCGAACAAGAAAGTCCCCTAGAGGAATATTTGGGACCCCTACACGAAGCGAACCCAGTATATGTGGCGAATAACAACCGACAGCACCACAGGCAGGAGGTATTGCTGGAGGGTCGCCCCACACAGGGGTTGAGAGACACAGGGGCCACTATTACCCTGGTACTAGGCCGACTGGTACCAGCACACAGGCATTCCACGGACACCGTTGCGGTCCGGGTGGCTGGAGGGGACATTTACAAATGTCCTACCGACCTGGGAAACAGAATGGCAATGCCGACGGGTTATCATAGCAAACTGACCTCAGTCCAGCATAATTCTTCAGTCTGGACAGCCTTAGTCTGCCCCAAAAAGGGGTCAGACAGTGTCTGTCAGAGTATTCCACAAAGAGGGAGCATTGTTACAGAGACTCCGTTACACAGACTTGTTACATTGTTATTCCCTGTTTCTACTTATTGAGGCTCTATTTTAACGGCATTCAGGCCATTTGGGTTGGGGTGCGGGAAAAGGAATTGTGAAAGTGGAGATCATGGACAATTTGCCAGCCGAGGTTCTACTGGGCAACGACCTGGGACCCATGACTTCTGCATATGCTCCTTCCTACAACTCGGAGGCGCACCCTGTCACTACCCGGTCACAAGCAGGAAGGACTCAAGACCATTCACCAGTGCGGGAGACTCAGGTAAGACAGAACCCGACTGTGACCAACCACCCGTCCCCATTACCCTGGGATACCCCTGCAGCCTTTGAGGATGAAACTAAAACCGACCCGAGCCGATACAGGGACCGGGGGATCAGACCAAGAGAGCATGGGAACAGGGCAGACTATACAGACATACCGAAAAGAAAGGGAACCATAGGAGGCAGCTAGTCATTCCCCATGTAACGGACCGTTTTGCACAAAAAGGGAAAAAACCGCTTAGACGATAATCCCCTTTCAGAGACAGGCACAGCTACTGTAGAATCACCAAAACTCACGAATTGAATACAAGTGAATGCTCCAAACTCCCGAACGGCATACAAGGGAATGCTCCAAACACTCGAACTGCATACAAGTGAATGCTCCAAACTCCCGAACGGCATACAAGGGAATAAGGTAGCACTCCAAATACACGAACAGGAACCATACGAATTGCTGCTACCAGACGAACAGGAAAAGCTCCCAAGCGGCTTACACTCCTGGCAATCAGTCCTTAGCAGCATACAGTAAATCCCCCCAAAGACGAGACAAGGCTCCGTGTTGAGGGTCAAGCAGTGGTCTGTTTAATGAGGGCTACCTGCCCAGTATTTATGCAGGTCTCCCACCTGGTGGACACTCCCCTAGGGGACCAAATGGGAGACTGTGACAAGGGACAGACAGTTAGACAAATAGGACACACAGTCACAGTATCTCCCACAATGCATCCTGGCTTCCTCCCCTCTGCCCTGAGAGATAATTGGGAAGTAACTCAATTATCTCCCAAGACAAAGGCAAAACTCCATTACACATGTGGGGACACAAAACCAGCATTATACTTTAAAATACACAAAGTAACATTTATTCCACAAAACACAGACATGTAACATATCCCCAGATAGCTCAGGTCTGAGTGCACATTATTAAGTGAATGGCACTCAGACCACACGAATACAGTTTAATCGCCATGGAGCCAAAGTCTTTACAGTCAGTTTCATACGAATGGGCTCCATGGGATTCCTATCTGGGGTATAACATATTTGAACAAAAATACCGAACACCGGGCCGTTCGTGCACTTTCACCGAACAAGAAGGGAGGTCGGCGGTTTCAGCGGTGTTCGCGCAAAACTGTGTCCGATTTTAGTTCCATGAAAATAGAGGCGAACACCGCTGTTCATTCGTATGGTTTAAAATGGCCGCGACCTCATGTTCGGGATACGAATGGCGGCCACCCAGCATTCATCAATTAAGCTGCGGTTAACCGCAGCTTCAGGGAGGTTAATTGCCGGCATACTCCAGCTCCCAGGTGGTCCAGTCATTCGTACGGTTGTTCGGTAGATTGAAACTACCGAACAACCGGCAGAAAAGCACGAATACAGCTTTTCTGCAGGCAAAAATAAAGTCTTTTAACAGGGGGCCATAGTCCAGAGGCAGCAGGCGAGCAACCAGGCTTCTCCAATGCAATGTGGCGAGATTGGTCTCGTCACACCCCACAAGTATAGACGAGATATACTCTGAGTGGGTTATGACATCCCATTAGCTGGACATTTAGCAGTGACCCGTACCCTCAAACGGATCACCCATACCCTCTTCTGGCCAGGAGTGCAGGCAGATGTGCGTACATACTGCAACACATGTGAGGTCTGCCAACGGGCATGTTCACCTCATGAACATGCCCATTATAGAGTAGCCTTTTAGTCGGGTAGCCATCGACCTAGTAGGACCACTCGCCACCCCTAGTCCATCCGAAAAAAGATACATTCTTACCGTGGTGGACTACGCTACCCGCTACCCAGAGGCAGTGTCTCTCTATCCAATATTCAGGCGGACACCGTAGCTAATGCAAGTATTCTCTCGGGTAGGATTCCCTAGAGAGCTCCTATCCGACAGGGGTACTCAGTTCACTGCGGAACTAACCCAACAACTATGGCATGTCTGTGAAATAAAATCCCTACTCAGCTCCCCCTATCATTCTCAGACTAATGGGCTATGTGAGAAGTTCAATGGAACCCTAAAACAGATGTTAAAAACGTTCACCCAGGAATATAGAGACTGGGAACGATTCCTACCGCACCTCCTGTTCGCTTATCGGGAGGTAACCCAGGAAACAACCGGATTCTCTCCGTTCGAACTGCTCTACAGGCATAAGGTGCGGGGGCCCCTAAACCTGATCCGTGAGCACTGGGAGGGAGAGACGGAGAATGCTGGAGTGCCCATTGTGCCCTATGTACTGGAGCTTAGGGACTGCATGGAGCAATTAGCCAGGTTCGTCCAGGCTAACCTCCAGGCGGCCCAGAAGCGACAGAAGGTCTGGTATGACAGAGGGGCGAGACGAAGGAGTTTTTGTGTAGGACAGAAAGTAATGGTGCTTAAACCTTTCAAAGCAGACAAGCTGCAAGCAGCCTGGCAGGGACCGTACCAGGTAGTAGAGTAAAGAGGGGACACTACCTATGTGATTGCCAGCTGTCACGACGAGAACTTAAGGAAGATATTCCACGTAAATATGCTAAAGGAATATCTTCAACAACCCGAAGATATAGCGGCCATATGTAGCCCGGCAACCAAAGACCCCGATAGTCTCCCCATACCCGACTTGCTTACCCAGAAAGACCCGTCAAATCTAGTGGGCCAAGTGCAGATAGGGGACCAACTGAACCCAGTAGAGAGGGAGCAGTTACACCAACTGCTCTAAAAGAAACAGTCCATATTCTCCCAGCCACTTACCAAGTGGACACCCCAGGGCAGCAACCTTTAAGACAGGCCCCCTACCGGATTCCTGAGGCGGTCATAGCAGGGATGAAAAAGGAAATGGTGGATAGACTCCTTGATGGCTTCCAGGATTTTGCCTGCGCATACCTGGATAACATAGCGATTCATAGTGAGTCCTGGGAGGAACACTTAGCCCAGGTGGGAATGGTCCTGGATCAGATTCGGGTTGCAGGCCTGACTCTGAAGCCAGAGAAATGCCATTTTGGGATGGCTGAGGTACAGTACTTGGGTCACCGAGTGGGATGTGGGAAACAGCGACCAGAGCCAGCTAAGATAGAGGCGATCGCAAATTGGCCCACCCCCACCACTAAGACCCAAGTGCTAGCCTTTCTGGGCACGGCTGGGTACTATAGAAGGTTCGTGCCAGACTATAGCGTGATAGCCAAACCCCTGACGGACTTAACCAAGGAGAATCTTCCTCGACAGGTCCTGTGGACTCCCCACTGTGAAACCGCGTTTCAAACACTAAAAACTGCTTTAAGTAATGCTCCTGTCTTGGCTGCCCCAGCCCCTAATCAACGTTTTATTGTTCATACAGACGCTTCCATGTTCGGGCTGGGAGCTGTCCTCAGCCAAGTAGGAGACAATGGGAAGGAACGCCCGATTGCCTACATCAGCCGAAAACTCCTGCCACGAGAGGTCAGCTATGCCGCGGTGGAAAAGGAGTGTTTGGCCCTGGTATGGGCACTAAAGAAGTTAACCCCCTACTTGTATGGACAAGAGTTCACTCTGGTGACAGACCATAACCCGTTGGTGTGGCTCAACCGGGTCGCTGGGGATAATGGACGACTATTACGCTGGAGCTTATCACTACAACCGTTTAATTTTACTATCACCTACCGACCCGGGAAACAGAATGGCAATGCCGACAGGTTATCATAGCAAACTGACCTCAGTCCAGCATAATTCTTCAGTCTGGACAGCCTTAGTCTGCCCTGAAAAGGGGTCAGACAGTGTCTGCCAGAGTGTTCCACAAAGAGGGAGCATTGTTACAGAGACTCCATTACACAGACTTGTTACATTGTTATTCCCAGTTTCTACTTATTGAGACTCTATTTTAACAGCATTCAGGCCAGGCGATGGATCATACAAACTATTATAAAGCCTCATTCGTCGGTGCGAACAACCAACCACCCAGCCCTAGGCGTGTGCCGCCACTTAACCCCGTCACCCCGCAAAGTACCGAACAGCCGACCACCCAGCCCTAGGCATGTGCCGCCACTTAACCCCGTCACCCAGCAAAGTACCGAATAGCCGGCCACCCGGCGAGCGGAGCGTGCCGCTTATCAACCTCCCCTCAAGCATTGCAGTCTGCGGTTAACCGCAGGTTAAGTGTCTCTCCAGGGCTGGCTTCATTCGCATCACGAACGGACGGGACAACCAGACGGGTAGCGGGGATTTGCATGATTCTGTACCCGGCCTTCGCTCCATGAATACAGCATCGAGGTCCCACTGGCCATTGACGGACGCAAATGAATAGCACGGCACTATTACAACAATAACATGGCACTATCACAGTGATAACAGGGTATTATCACAGCAATAACACAGCATTAACACAGCATTAAACAAGTACTATCAGAGCGATAACACGGCACTATTACAGCAATAACACATCACTATTACAGCAATAACACAGCACTAACAGAGTGATAACACGGCACTATCACAGCAATAACAGTATTATCAAAACGATAACACGGTATTATCAGTGTAAAGGATTCTCCTATACTCACCCGTGTGCATTCGGTTATAGCTTCTCCCTGCTGTTTAACTGCTTTTGGACGTTTTCGTTTAATTTTGTGTTTGGGAAAATGTATTCGTTCTACCAAACGGAGACCACCCTGGGTGGCAATCAGAACTTGGAACATCGAGTAATCACACGAAAACCACAACTTAATTGAGTGCTCCTAGGTGGCCGCCATTCGGCATATGAACACGTAGCGAGAACAAAGGATGGCGGCCATCTTAAATCTCCCGAATGCAGCCAGCGGGACTTACGCGTGAATTGCCTGGAACTGTTTTCGGCATGGCAATCACGCGAACGGCCGGTCAGTATGGAAGTCCCGACTGGCTTCTTTCCATTCAAGGTATAAAACCGGCATTCGGGAGTTTTAATCTACCGAACAAGGGGAGCATTCGCATGTAACAAGCTGCAACATACGTACGGTAGTTTTCATGTAACTAGGCGCGAACGGAGACCGGCTCTTGCTGCTGATTTCATGGAACTCTAAATCAGACTCTAAATCGGATACCACCACACGATGCGACACGGAAACTACCGAACGGATTATCGTGAAATTTGGAACTGTGACTCCCAGTATCCTCAGCTACCCAGGGATGTGATTATTATATTTGTATGTTATGCAGAAAGTACTTTTCTAAAAATGTTAAAAATTGTTAATGTTTCTGGCCAGCAGATAACTGAGTTTAGTATGTTGCTGAAACTCAATTATCTAGCCTGGCCCAGAGGAGGAGTCTGCTATTGTATAAATTGAATGCCTGTTACTTCCAGTAAATCAGTCTTGTTCCAGCATTAAGCTTTGGCTCATGTTTGGATTATTTGCCCATACCACCAGCGATATTTATTCCTGTGGATTACTTGGTGATTTTCTTTTAAGGGAAGAAGGGAATGCTTGACGGTGATACAGTTTACTACCGTCACAATCACAGCAATAACACAGCACTATTACAGCAATAACACAGCACTATCACAGCAATAACACAGCACTATCACAGCAATAACACGGTATTATCACAGCTATAACACGGCACTCTCACAGCAATAACACAGCACTATCAGAGCGATAACACGGCACTATCACAGCAATAACACGGTATTATCACAGCAATAACACGGTATTATCACAGCAATAACACAGTATTATCATAGCAATAACACAGCACTATCAGAGCGATAACACGGCAATATCACAGCAATAACACGGTATTATCACAGCAATAACACGGTATTATCACAGCAATAACACGGTATTATCACAGTGATAACACGGCACTATCACAGCAATAACACAGCACTATCAACATAGTGTTAACACAGTGCAATTTTAACAACCAAAGAACAAACACAGCAATAACACCCAGCAGAAATGCAGCAAAAACTGGGCAAAAAGGAGACACAACTAACAAGTCAGTCACCCTTCGGCCATATAACCATAGCTATATAACTTAGCAAGTTAATGAGTTCTCGTATCATTCGGTTTTTATTCAAATCACATTGCCACATACTCCACTTTGGAGAAGACCATACCTCTTCCTTCTGGGATTTCCAGAATCCTGGGGCCTGAAAGCCACTGGTAACATGGGAAATGATATGTGTGTCCACTTGGGGATGTCACATCGACATATTTGCAGAACCATTCATCGGTCACCAGGTAATATTCCTTGTACAGCCGAACAGACAGGATCTCCCCAATGTCTTCATTGCTGGTAACCTTGTACTCACCCACCTGAAGGACAAACAGGTGACTTTCTTTATTGTGTGGATTTAAGAAGGCATGACTCAGTTATACAATGGCCCAGTGTCTGCCATCAATCATTCTTCACTGGAATAAGAACAGAAATCACATGTTAAAGGCCATTAGTCCTGTATTTGTGGGAGGATTTATATCCCTTATATAAACTCCTACCCCCCTACTCACCTTTAACGTTCAAGCTGTTTGTCCCAGCACTTCTGGTCCATAGTTCCCTTCAAATTCCAGCCTCCAGCAGCAGTTTGTCTCCAGCAGCTCTCCTGCCTCCCACCTCCGTGCTTGTCAACCGGCTTCTTACCGACATTGCTACCCGGCTTCCGGTCACTCACGTACGTCTAATTATTTGTATGGATAAACAGCTGACCGCTATGTATATGGCTTTCGTTTGTTCTTTCGTGCGGTCCATTAACCGACCGCAGGTATTTTCTTTTTATGCTCACAGTCCTCTCCGTTTGTTCATTTAGCTGAACGCAGGAGGCTTCAAGGTCTAAAGTCACTAATCTGTTGTTTAATGTATTTCATCATGTCATTCGTTTAAACAAAGGAACTCACCTTTCACTTTCTCTGCATCCTATATTTTAATGTGTTAAGCATATGGCTCATTAGTTACTACTGGCTAACATATAGTTAATCTGTTTTTCACTATTACTCGGCTATGGGCATATTAATTTATGGGACACCTAATTTTTTACACAGGTCATAACTAGGTTGGTCTCCGTTACACTACGTCTTTATCTTTGTTTTGACATGCTATAGGTTAAGCTCTAACGGTTCCTTTTTCACCAGGCTCATTACAGTCCATAAGCACGATTGCAAATCTCTGTTTCCTAAAACCTTATATACTGGTTCGTTAGACTTAGTATGCGCATGTTTTTAGGCTCTACTACATTTCCTTCTAACAGTCTCCAGGAAGTGTTACCCCAGTATCCTGTATTACTGTATCAGGTAAGAAGGTTTACCAGTTGTTTTTGTTTTCCAGTTGAATTTGTCTTTCCCTGAGGCCTCATCCAGCCTCCACAGCCTCATTCAGCCTCCACCCCCTCCCCCCCACACCCCAAGGTGGGTTCTAAACTTCTAAACGGGCCACGGCAAAGACCCTGCACTGCGATTTCTACGACAATCACCTCCTAAACCATCACCACTTTGCTACTACTAATTGTAACGATACATTGCTTGTCTTTAATTTCTACATTTCATTACTTAGACCTGCGTCAATACCGCAGTATCACCAAGTTCTACACCATCAACCACTAACAGCCCACCTGGTATCCCGTATTCCATCACCAGGTATTGTTTAATCTTACTCACTAAGATTACGTTTCTACTTAAGGCCTAACTCCGCCTTCTTATCATTTAAATTCACAATTGTGGATACCCAGGGGCTTGTCTCTACTTACGGATCAACGTTCAGGTCCCTCATCTTACACGGGTTCTTCCATACATTCAAAATTTTTACACCAGGCATACCAGTGGCACACTTAGGCTCCTCTAGCATCTATCTTACCCCTAGGATACCTTGGCCGGACTTGTTCCCTTCAAGAAGTAAGTATATATATATAAATTGAAGACTTCCTGTGACTCGTCCAAGGCAATAGGACCAATACTCAAGGTTTGTATCTACATACGTTCAAGTACATAATTCATGGAGACAAACCCCATCAGGTTAGAGAATTGGCTTTTAGGGTTAGGTGCTGTCCTTAGCTATCCTAAGTAATACACCGGTCCTGCAAGGTCTGCAAGGCCGGCCCTTTAAATACTGCAGCCGCCTGAGCGCTCTGTTAAGAGCGCTCAGGCGGCTGCAGCTTCTCCCCTCCCCTCCCCTCCCCTCTTCTTACCCCTCCCCTGTAGCGTGGCCGAGCTGCAATCCGGTCCGCGGTGGCTGGCCGGCCGGAGTGATAGGAAGGTGCACACTGAGTGTACACTTCCTGTCAGTCCGGCCGGTTACAGGAAACAGAAACTCCTGTTCCGCGCAGAGTTTCTGTTTCCTGTCACCGGCCGGACTGACAGGAAGTGCACACTCAGTGTGCCCCTTCCTATCACTCCGGCCGGCCGGCCACCGCGGACCGGAGTGCAGCTCTCGTGAAGGAAGGGGCCTGCAGCCGCCTGACCGCTCTTCACAGAGCGCTCGGGCGGCTGCAGTATTTAAAGGGCCGGCCCAGGAACGCGGCCGGCCCCCAGGTGCCGCGGCCCACCGGGAAATTTCCCGGTATCCTGGTGGGCCAGTCCGGCCCTGATTGTAGCAGTCGTGGTATTCCACTTATCCTATAACAGGCACAGGTACTTAGGTACTCCAGATGTTTTGGACTTCACCTCCCATGATGCTTTGCCAGCATTATGGGTGTAAGAGGATTATGGGGGATGTAGTCCACAACATCTGGAGTGCCGAAGGTTGCCTATCCCTGTCCTATAGCATGGGTGGGACTGCTCTTGGAGAGGAACATTTTATCCAACAGCATATGCTGTGCAGAGGTTTATGGGATAAGAGTTTCCCTCTGGTGTGGGAGTGGCCAGTCCACTAAACAGTCATGCATACCCAAATATCAGTAAATGTATCAAACGCTTAACATGTGGTTACAGGATCTACAGAACTGTTTCTCAACTTAATTTCTGTTAAAATTACCTGGTGTTGTTGCACTGTGGTATTTAGCATTCTTAAATTGAAAAAGGCAAATCCAATCCGTCAAGTAGGAATCTCAAGGGGTTGCCAGATTTTATAACAAGACACGGAGGCTCATGGTGCATGTCCCTTTCTTTACTGTCCACCAATAACAGCAAAGAATACAAAAACAGTAAGAAAAATATGGTATACATGTAGATATAAGCCACTCCCTGTCACGTATCCATCCGCACATAAAAATATGATTAATGGCATTTACTGCCCACACAGGAAACGTTGTGCTGAGCAGCAACCTAATCCACAGAAGGGTTAATGCTGAGCAGCAATTATGCAAATGGGAACCTGTAACTGCCTTTGGGGTCAAAGGCCGGTTACAGCCTATCAGAACTAAAGGAGGGGTATTTAGGCCCAGTTCTCATCCTGCTCAGTGCCCTGTCGTGGTTTCCCTTGTGGTTGTCCGAGAGCGCGTTATTTATTCTGGTAATTCTGGTTATTTGACTTTGGCATTGTTTTTGACTTCCCTGTTTTCTGGCATCCCTGACTCCTGGCTTTTCCTTATTGTTGTGTCTCTTTCTGTTTCCATTGACCTTGGCTATTTCTGACTATTCTTTGGTACGTTAGTCCGGCCATTCTAACGTCCGGTATACGTTACCTATCAGTCCTCTGTGTTACACAATTCTACGTGCTGGATCATTCTGTAACCCTGACACTCCTATACCAAGTCCCAGTATAATACTCAGCACATCTTTCTTTGCTGCTCCAGATTTCTAGTTATACTGCTTATGTTAGGCTGTTATTTTCTGTCTCTTATTCCTTTTAGTTGAACTTGTAATGTTATATTACTGGGCTTTTGTACTTGTTTGCTATAAATGTGTTCTATGCTGTGCCCAGGGTCTCAGACCAGCTAAAGATTTTTCTTCCTTTCCCTTGTTGACTGGGGTCACCCCACTGGCTTTTTTCACCTTGCTTTGGTGATTGTATTTTCCCTTCTGCAGACCTTATGTATTTTTCCCCCTTCTTTCTATGTTTTTTCCTGCCTGGGTCCATTTTGGTGCCCTGTTCACATTTTTTTGCGCCTCTTTTTGGCCCAATTGGTCTGTTTAAGGACCCATGTTTGGAAGTTCGTAGTTTTATTCGTATTGAAATTTTGTCTCTGTTCGGGTCACAAACGCTGTTTGTTCATGGATTGTTTCCCGACCGTTTGGCTGTTTTTGGTGCCACATTCGCGGGTTTACCTTACTAGGTGCATTTGGTTTGCGTACGCGCGTTGTTCGTGTAACGAATTCACCCGTTCGGTAGTTTTTTCATGCAAATTCGCGTTCTTTTCCACACAAGCTCACGATTTACACTGTGTTTCTTTCCAGTTTTTTTTTTTTTTTGCCTGTCCCTGCCTCTTCCTGCCTCGTGTCTCTTGCTACTGGTCTGGGCCCTGGTGAGCTCCCTTCTGTCCCTTCTACTCGGTTGCTAGTTTCAGTGATTAACCCTCACTACTTACTTTGGTACTCCAATGGTCTGTGACCGACACCATTATGGCCACTATGGGTTCAATGTCTTCGGCTTTGTCTCAGACTATATCCTAGGCATTGTTTGCTTGCCCTTTGGACGCAGGGGCCACGGATCCCTCGACGCACACCTTGTGTCCAGAGGTGGATCCCCTTGGGGTTGCACCGAGAAAGGCTAGCTGTAAATCTAGGCATGTATCCCCCTCTGCCTCCAAAAACACCATGACTGGCGTACTTCAGGTCACCCATGAAAGTGTGTCCAAGTCACGCACAAGATCTTTTCCTCACCAGGCAGAACAGGCGTGTTGGTGGAAATGTGTGAGAGCACAGACTGATAGCGATTCTGACTCAGAAATCTGGTCTAGTGAGGAGGCTGGTTTTGAGTCGGATGTGACTCAGAGAATGGTACTGGGGACATGGATCTTGACCTCTTTACCTCCGCCCTGGCGGGGATGACGGGAGGCGACCCTAGGGCTAATCTGCCCGCGGCTGTAGGGACTTCTGGACCCACTGGGTGAGTCCTTGTTTGACCCAGATGACCTACATCATTTAAGGTCGGCTGAGTGGCTTCCAGTGGACCATGTGGCTCACTACCTGGAAACCTGGGTGCGGCACCCGCTTCACAAGGCAGCACGTAACAAGCTTAGAGCTGAGTGCCCTAGACCGGTGGTACCTAACAAGGTGTGTGACATCCCGGAAGTTGACCCCAAGTTGCCTCAAGTCTTGACCAAGCTGGGTTGGAACCCACGTAAGGGCCTTGATTCGGCATTCAGCTCATGCCAAGACAAATATTTAGAAATTTTTGACCCCCTAGCCAAGCTTTTGATCTGGCAAAGGACACCAGGGCTGAGAACAGGCTGGTCGACCCGGAGGAATGCTGAGGTTGGGTCAAAAGGTAGCGTTAACAGGACTAGGCTCGTTCAACCAGCGCCCCAGGAGGCTAGAACCCGATTACCCTTCTTCCCCTCTCATTGACGACCATAGCAGTCAAGGGCTTCAGAGGGAATTCCGGTGGAAGACGCCCATACGGTAAGCTTAATTCTACCACATGCTTCTTCTCATGTTTGTGTAGGGAGCAGGCTCCATCATTTTTTCCCAGCCTGGGCATCCATCACATCCGATGCATGGGTTCTCTATATAGTGAGGGGCTTCCAAATAGCATTAGTGGGGATGACTCGTTTCTTCCGTAACCCTCAACCGATCTGTTTTTCTCTTCAGGATCGCAGGTTGATCAACGAGGAGTTGTCGACCCTACATACCAAGGAAGCTATAGAGTTGGCTCCGCTGCACCCCTTGGGGGTCATCAGCAATCTCTCCCTGGTGGAGAAAAAGGGTGGCCAGAAGCACCCTGTTATCAACTTGCACCCACTCAATTCCAGGGTACACTACCGACATTTCAGGTTAGACGGCATCCACCTCCTCAGAGGCCTGCTCCTACATTGGGATTGGGGATTGGCTGGCAAAACTGGATTTGAAATACGCAGACCTGACGGTGCCGGTAAACAAAGTTTAAAGGGATCTCCTACAGTTCCACTGGAGGAATCGCGTATGGCGCTTCACCCGTCTTCTGTTTGGTCTGTCTTTGGCGCCTTGGTGCTTCGTCCTGCGATGGCCTGGCTCCCCGGTCAGGGCGTGTGCCTTATGGTATATCTGGACGATATACTGCTCATGGCTCAGGACCGTTCCGTTCTTCTCCGGCATCTGTGATGGATGGTGGGTCTTCTGATTGATTTATTTGGCCAGTGTTTGTGACTAAGTGGCTACTAAAAAAGACTGGACATACCCAATTTGCAATACCTTGGGTTGTTTAATTTTGCAAGTGGTATGCCATCATGGGGGTAATTCTTATTCCTGGGCTACCATACAGTCTCAAAGGCAACATAACCAATCTGGCAAATTTGAATGTGAAGAAACTGAAATGCAAGCCTTATATTTGACTCTGTAACTTTCGAAAACATCATAAAACCTGTACAATTACCCAGATCTCAATCCAATTGAGCATCTGTGAGATGTGCTGGGACACTAAATTGGATCTATGGAGGCACCACCTTAAAACTTGCCTTGATGCATCAGAGCTGTTTTGGCAGCACGAAGGGGACATATACGATATTAGGCAGGCGCTGGGCCCTTTAATTAGACCCTTGCCTCTATGCATTGTCCACAGAGGAGACCAGAACCCAGATATAATAGAATGTATAAAGTATTACTGACAATGTATAGAACACGTTAATCTGAACATTTACTAGCCACTTGGCTAACACATGTATAGACAATAACAGTTGCATTAACCAGAACTTAATTATAAGGGACAGTAATTTTTGCCATAGCTTTTAGATACACTGTGAATGGTTAAAAGTAACCTTTTTTTTTTTTTTACTCTACAATTTCCTACAATATTTTGTTTTTTGTCGACACATTAACATATGAGTGATTATCATGACGGCCATTAGATGACCTCATCCGCTGTAACTGGAATCAGCTGCAGCTCACAGCACCTGGACAGCGCCTGATAATGACCCAGCTGAAAATTCCGAATAAATCGAGGCATAATAATTATATTTCCATGTGCGGACGACAATTTATGGCACTTTTGCTGCAGTTCGTAAAGAGGCTGGCTTAGCATCTCAAGAGACTTCTTGTTCATGATCTGTTATTTCTTTTCAGAATATCCACATGCCAAGGAGGAGGTGGGGAGCATTATTTAAATAATAATGTGTCCTGTACTGCCTTCTCAGATGCACACATGTTCCTAGTTTCCTTGTTCATCCAGTTAGCTGCAAGTCTTAGGCAGTTAGGATCCGTAACAGGTTATGGTCTTTTAATTAGCAAAGCTATGACTATAAGGTAGTTGGACAAAGCAGCACTTTTGGTCTAAATTTTGCAACCTGGCTTTCAACACACTGCAGTTCACTGTATAAACCTCATGATATATCATTTATCAAACTGCCCCGATGTAATTCAGTGTGTGTAGTATATCTGTTCTAACTGAGACTTCAATGAAATTTAATAATATTTGTTTTTCACTCTTTAAATGGCAAGGTTCGTTTAGGTTTTTGGAAAGCTATCTCTCTGATGGACACAGAAGTTCTAATTTAAGCTAAAATTAAAATGAACATTTACAGACAATAAAGCAGACCGTGAATGAAAATGGTAATTGTAAAAAAGCTGTCTCTCGTAATCTATCTTCTAAAATTAATGTATCGGGTACCTACACCAGGAAATAATTACATTTAGTCATTTTACTGGACACATGTGCGGATATGGATTACATTAATTCCCATATTAGTATTACTCCACTAAAGGGTCAAAGCCCCTGGAAGGATCCATCACACGCAGTTATTGTTTAATCCTTTCCCATTTGCTGATAAAAATGCATCAGCTGAGCGTTGATTGAGTTATTTCCTTTGTGTCACTGTGAGCTCGTTCCTGAACACCTGACAAGCAACGTAAAGCTTCCTATGGGTCAAGTTGTAGATAATCCTATTGTAGTATTTGTGGCATACCTGCTACTTAACCCCTTAAGGACTGGACTGTTTTTGTGATGTTGTACATTTGCGACCAGGCATATTTTTACACTTTTGTGGTGTTTGTCTTTGGCTGTAATTTTCCGCTCTCTCATTTACTGTTCCCATACAAATTATATATTGTTTTTTTCATGACAAAAGGGGCTTTCTTTACATACCATTATTTATATAATCTCTTGTATTTTAATTTAAAAAAAATAAAAAAATATGATGAAAAATTGAAAAAAATACATGTTTTTTGACTTTTACTTGAAAAATCTTTTACTCATCTACAAAAGCAAATATTCAATATGGGGTATGTCCAGTCTTTTTTAGTAGCCACTTAGTCGAAAACACTGGCCAAAGTAAGCATTCATATTTGTTTGTGTGTGAAAAAAGTAAAAAAAACTAAATTGAACGCTAATTTTGGCCAGTGTTTTGGCCAGTGGTTACTAAAAGAGACTGGACATACCCCATTTGCAATACCTTGGGTTGTCTTCTTTTGCAAATGGTATGCCATCATGGGGTTGGTAATTCTCATTCCTGGGCTACCATACGCTCTCAAAGGCAATGTAACCAACCTGGCCATTTTCAATGTAAAAATATTTGACCCATATATTTGACCCTGTAACTTTCAAAAATACTATAAAACCTGTACATGGGGGTACTGTTTTACTCGGGAGACATCGCTGAACACAAATATTAGTGTTTAAAAACTGGAAAACGTATCACAACAATTATATCATCAATAAAAGTGCTGTTTGTGTGTGAAAAATGCAAAAAAAGTCACTTTCACTGACAATATCATCGCTGTGATATGTTTTACTGTTTTGAATCACTAATATTTGTGTTCAGCGAAGTCTCCCGAGTCAAACAGTTCCCCCCATGTACAGGTTTTAGGGTGTCGTAGAACGTTACAGGGTAAAATACAGTGCTAGCAAATTAAATTCTCTGGACTTTCGGCCTTGGTTGGCTGGCAGGTCCCTCAAATTGCAATTAATAAAATTACTTAATTATGTAAAAATATTACATAAATACGCACGTAGAATTTAAATATATATGCATATTTATATATGTGAAGTCTACGTGTATATTTATATAATTATTTATGTAATTTTGTATATGGACATATGTATATTTTGCATTATTTTTATTTATATATACATAGATATATATATACAAATTCATTCTAAGTGTATTTTGATATAAATATATATATATTAATTTTAAAATACAGTTAGAATAAAATTTCATATAGATATATATTTGTTTTTCCAATTTTTATTATTATTTTAAAAAATTTAATTTAATTTAAATTACTTATTATTTATATTTTATAATAATATATATACAATATATATAGTTATTATATATATTATATATATATACATGTGTAATTTAATTATAAGTGTATTTTTATATTAATATATGTACATATTAATATAAAAATACACTTAGTATGACATTATATATATGATATATAGACATTTTTTTATTTATTAACATTAACTTTATTTTATTTTTTGATTTTACACATGCAGGGAGACTGCCTGTCAGCACAGACAGTCCCCCTGCAGGCAGACAAATGGACACCTATTGTGACCATGTGATCGCTGTGTTAAGCGATCACATGACCACAGAGGTACTAATCCAGTGTGGTGGAGACTGTCTGGGCTGCACGCAGTCTCCCCACACCGGGAGCAACGCTGATTGCCGCCGGGGGAATGACGGCGATCAGGTAAGTAACTAGGACCGTTAGGACTGTTCAGGACCGTCAGCGGTCGGCAATGGGAAAATGCCGATGACGTTCCTGAACCGTCCTCGGTCCTTGAGGGGTTAATAACTGGGATGCAGTATGTCCACAGAATGCCATAGCACCATTTATTGGAATTTAGTAGATCATTTTTTATTTTAGTTTTTTTCCATTCTTTAGGTGCAGGCAACAAGAATATCATTACATTAACATTGGTAATAAGTAGCTAGACAAAATATCCTGCAGTCCAATTTTAACAACTGGTTAACATGATATGAAGAAAAAGAAAGCTAAATATAGTGTAGCAGAAAGGATGAAGAGAGAAGGAGAAGAAAGAGACAAGAGAAGACAGATCGACCGACAGGAAAAGGAGCCACGTACCCTTTAAAAGTCTTGGGTTGACAAATTTGAGTGTCTCTGTAAATTTTCTGAAGTGTTTCACACCTTATTGAAGGACCACTATAGTGCCAGGAAAATATACTAGTTTTCCTGGCTCTATAGGGTCCTTGGGTCCCCCTTACCCTCTTGGTCCCCCTCCTGCCGTGCTCTAGGTTGAGGAAGGGGTTAGTCCCTTACCTTTTTCCAGCGCCAGATTCCCTCAGCAGATTCCCCACTGGACCTGAGAGGAGACTATGACAAAGCACACACTTTACTTACATTGGCTCTCAGGTCCAGGACACTCCCACACAAAACAAGGTAATCCCTCGCCTGTGCCTGAGAGATAATTGAGTCAGGAATTGTACTAAACTTAATTATCTCCAGGCACAGAAAACATACATTTTAACAACCTCCCAAAAGTACCCCTAAAACACATGGAAAACCCCACAAAAGTCACATCCCCTAATAGCCCCAATCAGGGGGACCAACATATCCAAAAAATCACCCAGATCAGTTCAGGGGTTCGGGATTTCCATGGAGGTCATAATTTGACCGACCGCATACGAGGCTCCCACCCAAAAGAGTTCTATGAAATCAGGCTGTGTGGTCTGTCTCTTTCGGGAGTTCACAATACAACAGAAATACGAATGCAACCAGTTCATATGTACACTTAGTCTGTGTCTCTTGTTCGGGAGTGTGTTTCCACCGAACGCCGCTCTTCTCAAGTGAATTCAGCTGAACATACGAAGAGATGGAAGTCCCAGCGGTGTTCGCGCCATCCAGTGTCCGATTATAGTTCCATGCACTCAACGACCAAACACCGCTGTATGTGTTCACGGCTAAAGATGGCCGCTGCCACCCAGACGACTGTTTAGAATGTTGCGGTTACAGCTTGTTAATGAGGTCAATAGGGTTAACAAACGACACACTCCACTTCCAGGTGGTCCAACTGTTTTGTAGTTGGTTCGGCATACGAAGAGCATAAGTATAATCAGTTTGGTAAATCCTATATACCGAACCAGACAAGGGAAAGGGCACGGACAAACCCTTTCCATAGTCCTGAACCA